GCAGACATTTTTATTAGATTTACTACCTGCGGAATCAGGGGCCAAACGGAAGGATGCTTTTTTAGCTGACACCTGCGGCTGCTGCTCAGAGTGAGAAGACACAGTTCACTGATGTGTGGGCCAGCTTTTCTCTGCTGTCCAAGTCCCAGCTCCTGTTGACAAGCCCTGTGCCTCGCATGTTTTTCCATGGCGACCTCAGCGGCTGTCCCTGTGCAGTGATTGCACTGGGGCAACCCCATCTTGTTTCTGACCTTAGGTCTCACGTGCCCATCTCACATGGGGACCCTAGGAAATGGGCTCAGCGCCCCCCTTGTCCCAGCGAGAAGCCCAGATTCTGCGCTGTTTGATTTACCTCCCGCCCAGTCCTGTGTCTTAACTCTTAACTCTCTCCAGAAAAGAGACCACTTCTCTCCACCCCACCACCAGCAAGGAGAACCTTGGATCGATCAACAGCCTCGCCGCGGACCTCCCCCCCCCCCTCCCGTTTCTCTGCACTGCAGCCAGAATGTTTTCTGAAATACAGCTCTTACGTGGGCACGCCCCTTAGAAAAACCCTCCCGACAGGCACGTGGGCTGCCTGTTTTCTGTGCACCCCAGGAAGGCGAGTCTCCCGTCTTGTTCAGTGCAGAGCCTGGGGCATGACGATAAATGTGTGATGCTAGTTTGGTGCTGCTAGACCTGTGCCCCGGGTATGTATGCCTGCTTCGCTATAGTAGGCGTGTTACACTTCTTTTCTAGGACTTAGACCCTTTTTTTTTTCCTTATTAAGTCATAGAGGTTGAAGTCTGTTGTTTTACTTTCTTTGGATACGTTTTTGGGTGGTCCTCATAACAGCACCTACCCCTGCAGAGTCGTCATAGGACTTAATGAGAAAGCACGTTAAATCCATAAATGTTATCTGCTGCCCCTGCTGGGAGTCTCTCCTTATTTTGAAACTCGCTGTTTGCTAGCTGTGTGACATTGGACGAATTATTTAACCTCTATGGGCCTCAGTTTCCTGTTGTAAAATGGGGTTAATGTGAGCACCTCCCCTGTGGGAGTTAGTGCTCTGAGGATTAAATGAAATAATCCGTGCGGGGCGCCGTGAACCAGGCCCATCATAGGAAGTGTGTTCGGGAGGGGGCTGCTGCTGCCGTTACTAATGCCTCTTAAGGTGGCCTCAGGGAGGACCCCAGCACCTTGGAGTGTCGTCAGTTGTAGATCTTCTAGAAAAATATTTTAAGTAATTTGTTCCCCATCAGTGCATGCTCACACACACACACACACAAATTTCGCACAAAAAAAGAATGAAAATTTGTAATCCCATCCAAATGTCGATATTTTATGGCTACCCTAATTTTTTTTTCTGTGTGTGATAAATCCGTACATTGCCCCCTCCCTCGATTTGGACTGTATGTGTTTTTAAAAACACACCTAGAGTAATAACACACACACTTGCATAGCTCCGAGGCAGCAGTAGCTTTTCATTCATGCCTCTGAGGGCCGCAGGGAGGCTCTGTCAGAGGCCTCGGGACGTCGGTCGGAGGGGCCCCCCATCCCTCTGCAGCCCTAATTGAACAAGAAAGGGCCCGCCTAGCCTTCTAACATTGCATGCGTAGTGACGACGTGCTTGACTGCTTAATGCTGGGAAACACCCCTGGCCCAAGTGTACATTTTTTGGCAGGTTTAATTCTTAAAATATGTTAAGGCTTTTTTTGTAATTAGTTGTATAAAAGGGCACCACGAGGGAGCCTTGTGGTGGTGGATGCATAGACCTTCCTAGGTGATAAAATTGTATAGGGCTTCATAGTCATACATGTGTGCATGCACATGGGAAGCTGGGGAAACCTGAGTAAGGTTTGGGGACTGTCTCCATGTCAGGGTCCCAGTTGATAAATCATTTTACAAAACGCCACTACTGGGCGGAACTGGGTAAAGGGTATCTCTGTATTATTTCTTGTATCAAAAAATTAGCTTCAAAAAAGGAAGTGTAATTTCTGGTTACTAGGATCCCAGAGGAAAAGCGGTTCTGACTGTCATTCTCCTACATCAGGGTGACATAGAGCACAAGAGTTATAATGGAGCGGTTTTCTTTTCTCCCTGGACATAGCAGAGGACTTGGTCCTTTGAGAACATAGTGGGCAGGAGCAGGTCCTCAGTCACAGTACAGGTGGCAGCACCGAGAGAGGCCTATGGTGACGGCGCTGGTCCGTTTCTGGTTGACGAAGGGAGCGTGCGGATGCCGACCTCCCGGCCGCCTGGCTGGAGGGCTCCAGCGTCTTATCTGCTCTGTTGCAGAACATGGCAGCTGGACAGCTTGCAAACCAATCCCTGTCCACAGCATAGGAATCTTCACATATGAATTTCTTGTGACCGTGAGCTGATGAACTATTTACAGCAATTTGAGCCAGACGCCATCTCCATCAAATTCAATTTTGAACCAAGCCTTAGAAATCCCCCTCACCTTTTCCAACCTGGCAGCTCCGAGGGAGGTGAGGCTGCACACTTCCCTGCAGTGGGCATTAGGGTTCCTTCCGTAAAGTGCTGGGTGGTGATAAAGTGCTGGGGGGTGGAGAGAAGCGGGGAGGGGGAGCCCCTTCTCCTGGCTCCCAGGGCTCTGTGTTGGTTGGGTTTCAGATTTGGAACCAGATTTTAGGTCACCTTCTTAAGCTAGAAAATCATTCCAATAGATCATATTTCTCTGAGCTCCTTCCCTAGGATGATCTCTGCTTGCATTTAATCAAATATTTAGAGACCTATTGCATTTCCCTTGCAGCTTGCCCTCCGTAATGCTCCGAGTTTAGTAATACACTCCAGTTCCCAGATGCCTTGCGTGGGCTGTTATTGAATGTGGGTCATTGCCAAAGCTGAACTCTCTAGAATCTTAGTTAAGAAGAGTTACTAAGAAGTTATTATTTCACCCAAAAGTGGCAGGTTTCAAAAAGTTTTATACTTTGGCCTTAATCCTTTTGCATTTACTCTTTCCTCCACTGAAAAAAACCCGTGCCACCTTCTTGGTGTTTGTTGAACTGGAAATCAATTCCTTGCCATTGATTTAAAATAAAACAAACCTAAGAATTTTTTTTTTTTTTTTAGCAGACTATAGTCTTCTTTCATTGCACAAGGTTTTTCTCTAATGGAAGGGAGAACAAAGACACACAGTCCTAAACTAATTTCCTTGTAATGAAGTAACTGCTATGTGTGTGTGTGCACATGTGTGCGTTTTACCAGTTCAAGGTTCATCTTCCTGATGCTTCTTCATAAAGGCCAGTATTCAAAACATCATAGTTCGGAGTAAAGAAAGGTCTGTAGATCAAGAAGGCTCCATCTTGAGAAGACGGGAGTTGCATTCAAGTTTCTGCAAATCCCTCTTAAGAGAGCCCAGAATTCAGGCTTCTTTTATGTAAAGGGAAGGGAGGATGGATGGAGCAAGAGTCTTTTGACACCTAGGCACCAGCAGGGATCCAGGAAGACTGTGAAAGCTCTAGATCTTAGCTGCCTGGGCCATTGACCCCTGCTGATCTGAGTCTGGTCTGATGCTCCTGCAAATCTTTGCAGAAAGCTCAAGGCTCAAGCCTGATTCATCTAATAATCTATAGCAGGAGCTATTTACCTGAAGGCCACAGGATAAATACAGGCTAGAATGAAGGTAGGGTCAGAGAGAGAGAACATTTCAATCTGTTACATGTGTCACAGTAATAGTGCAGGTCTTTTTGGCATGGATTAAAAACTCTGCCACCCTAGTTTTCATGGTATGGAAACTGGTTGCCTAGCCCTAGAATGTAGCCCATTTGGGGAGAGGGAGCTGTACCATTATGAAATTATGAGCCAAGACTGTTGTTTAATAATTATACCGATAGCTGCTTTCTGAAGGATCAAACTTCGTCCACATGGTTGGGTCTCTGTGCTTCATGAGGTCTAGATCCTGTTGGTCTTTCCAATCATTTTGGTGGCTGAGCTGCTGACCTATTTTAGTGTGCTGAATTTGTAAGAGGCCAGATCCCGTCCACTCCAGTGCCTTGGCCCCAGCACCACCTCCAAGTACTTCACACACAATGTCAAGGCTTTGCAGGGATTAGAGGTCCCTCCCACCCCCTCACCCACTCAGAGCTTTGGGCCATCCCCTGGAACTGGGAACTTAAACTGAGTGGTGCTGAATGCTGTGTGGGTTGAACTTGGCACAACCAGCGACCCTTTGGGCCTGATGCACAGGCACAATTTTGAAGCCACTTTGTTAGATGGGTCATTTGTTTGGCAGGTTTGTGGCATTGGTAGTTTCATTGATGTTTTTAAAAAATGAAACACATTGGGTAATATTGGTTAATAACATTATATAAATTCCAGGTGTACAGCTTTATAATACAACGTCTGTATTATCTATTGTGTGCCCACCACCTGAAGTCTATAGTCTCCTGTCACCATGTGTTTGACCCCTTTTGCCTTCTTTGTCTTCCCCCTACTCCCTTCCCCTCTGGAAACCACCATTCTGTTGTCTGTGTCTATGAGTTTGTTTTGTTCATTTGTTGCTTTTTTTTAAAGTATTTCACCCAAGAGTGAAATCATATGGTTCTAGTCCTTTCCTGTGTGACTTGTTTCACTTAGTGTGATACTCTGAAGATCTATCTCCATGTTGTTGCAAATGGCAATATTTCATCATTTTTTATGGCTGAGTAGCCTTCCATTGTATATATGTACCACATCTTCCTTATCCAATTATCTACCCAAGGACCCTTAGGTTGTTCCCATGTCTTGGCTACTGTATTTGCTTCAATGAACATAGGGGTACATGTATCTTTACGAATAAGTGTTTTCAAATTTTTCGGGTAGATACACAGAAGAGGGATTGCTAAGTCATATGGGAGCTGTAGTCTTCATCTTCTGAGGGACCTGCGTACTATCGTCCGTAGTGGCTGCACCAATTTACATTCCCACCAGCAGCGCACCAGGGTTCCTTCCTCTCTACGTCCTCGCCAACTCTTATCATTTCTTGTCTGATCCGTTGTCATTTTTATTTCTTGCAGTTTTATGTGCTGAAAGAGTTGGCCAGATGACTAAGACATATAATGACATTGATGCTGTTACTCGGCTTCTTGAGGAGGTAAGTGTTTTGAGGGAGGGGAAAGGTCACTTACAGTGGACCCTTCAACCATGCGGTGATGGGCCTCTGATAAATGTCCGCCTCTGTTGTCATCCTTATGATTAGGGGTGAAATTTTACTGTGAGCTCTGTTTGTCCGTGTGGCATCTCATTAATTCTACGGTAGCTCAGAGGTAGATGCCACTGGGTCCCCATTCTGCAGTCAAGGGACCTGAACCTGAGAGGGCAGAAGATGCCCACAATAGCTCGGCTGCTTTCCAACCCAGGTCCCCAATAGCAGTGCCTGTGACGGTTGTGGTGGCTGTTGTGTTTATTGTCCTGCATGTTTAGTCTCGGGGAGTATGGTTGGTTGATCGTCAGTGGAACGTGTTTACTTTTGAAACATGACCTGGGTAATGTTTTTTATGGGAGCTGCCTCTGTGTGTGTCCACTGCGCACATTCTTGGCTTTTGCGGAGTTTGAGATGGCAGCGCTGGGTGACACCTCCACAGGTGACATAGGCTCTGCTCTGCGGGGGGAGCTCTTCCCAGGGAGCCTGGGACTCCAGCCCTTTATGCAGATGCTGGTTAAAAATAGTTCACTTCCCCTCCAAGCTAATTTCTTAAAGGTGTGTCCATGTATAAAGAGTTTGCCATTGTCTTTTAAAATAATTGAGTTACTGAAAAGAGTACTTGTGGAGCCATTTTTGAGGTGGCTCTATGTTGTGCCACCTTGGTTTTATTTTAGTGACTCGCCATGGCCCGTGTATATCTATGTGTTTTTTTATATGCCATTCTTCTTCCTGATAAGAATCGCATCTGAGTCACTGCCTTTCTTAGGAAGAAGCGTTTCCTGGTTAATGTCTCACTGATACAGCATGTGGCAGATGTACCGTGTGGCTTTGGTTCTGTTTCCTTCGATCACGATCACATGCTTTGATTTGCTTGCCTGCAGGTGAGGCGCTGGGGGCGTTTGCACGGGAAGCCAAGGCATGGCCAGCTTGGAGCGTTTGCTTCTGGGCTAGAGGGGAAGAGGAGTCAGCAGCTTGCCCTGGCTGGCTGCTGCTGTTCAGAATTTACCTGGGCGAAGCTCGCCTCCTCCCCAGTTACAGAGAGGGTTATTCCGAGGGCCTCTTAGTCATGCTTTTTATCCTGAAATTGGTGAATGAGTTCGCTGCTGACGGTGGGAGGCAGGCAGCTGTCCCGCCCCAGGGGTTGTGTTCATTGGGTAAAGGGGCTGAGACACAAGTCACCGTCTTTTTAAACAAGGCGTATCTGTGAAGCACGAGTGAGCAGAGTTAGAGTGAGCTCCACCTTGCCACCTTTCCTGTTCTTTCAGTACCTTATTTCCAAGGGCCTAAATTATTTATTTGTAGCCTTTTATTCTCACTGCAGTCGAACCCGGTGGTCGCTTCCTAGCTGTTTTCCTGTATTCAGAAGTAAAACACCTATCCGCTGTTGGCTGCTCATAAGAAATGGGAGTGTTTTCATTCCTGTAATTTTCTAAGAGAAACCCAACCAGCCGGTCGCCTTAGTAAAGAAAAACCAGACACTGCGATAACTTCTGTTTAGTTTTTTTCATTTCATCCATAAATATTTTTACTATAATATCTTGCCGCCTCTCCCCTCCCCCCTTTTTTTTTAACCAGCAGTTAGAGTTTTCTTTATTGTCCTAAAAAGATTAGATTTTTGGTGTAGAGGTGACAGCTTGGCGTCAGTGGGGCAGGGAGGGGTGAGGCTGGGGGAGGTAATGGGGAGGGGCGAGGGGCGAGGCGGTGGTTGTTGAACTGGCCCACTTGCCCACTTGCCCACTTACCCTTCTGTCTTTTCCTGTTGCCTGTTCCTGTTGGGCTCTGGCCTTGGTGAGCTGGGGGCAGCCTTCTTCATCCTTCCCCTGCTCGCGCATGGCCTTCCCCAGCTGGTCTTCATTATTATCATTTTTTTGCCTGATTTGTTTGCAGTGGTATTTGCATACAAACTGTGGCTAAGACATAGCAAATGACTGTGCTTTTTGGAACTCAGCCCCTTGGAGGTGTGGGGGAGACACAAACCTTCCTCCACCCTCAAGGGTCTTCTGGCTGGCCTAAGAGTCAAACAGACATGAGACAGATTAGCAAGAGGAAATTACCAAATTGACTACAGGCATACATATGGGAACCCCACGTGCAGGAGAGGGTCAGAGGTTGAAAGGGACCATGGGCATATAAGACATCCTGAGCTAGGGATGAGAAACGGGACCTTGGGGTCTCCAAACGGACATTGCAGGATGATAAGAAGAGCAGATGCTCAGTAATAGAAGTTTGTTCTGCACTTTAGATAGGTCAAAAGAGGTTATCTCTCATAACCTCTTACTATGGGCCATGCCCCTAATGTAAGTTCTTCTAGGTAGTTAAGGGAATGTCAGAAGTTGCCTTTAGCCAGAACAGTCTGCATACCACAGAGACACATCTTGGGGTGACTCGTTCTGAACCCCCACAGTTGCATGATGGACACAAGGAAGAGCAGGACAGTGAGCCAATGGGCATTTAAGTACCTGCTGGATACTCAGTCTGAGAACTTGCTCTAGGAGTGAAATTGAGTAGACTCGGGCGGGCTTGGTAGAGACCACACTTTCAAAGGGAAATGGACCTCGGTGTTGCGGTTTTAACTGTGTGTTAGCCCACGGGCGCCACTTGGACTCTGTGGTGACTTTAGGTCAGCCTCTGGGCAGGCCGGTGTGCAAGTTCCCTCACATCCCTCCTTTGGGCCCGTTCCTCCAGGTACCAAATAAGCACGACTCTTGCGTCTGAGGAGTGATAAAGGGCCGTTGAGATAGAGCCTCCTTGGTAGGCACAGTCGCTGGCATGGGTAACCACGCAGAGATGAGCATCTCACTTGAGTGGGCAGGCTCACGGGCCCCCTTCGTTCCTTGGGAGGGAGTGCTCGGAAGGCACAGACTGGGAATGCGCTGGAGGTATTTATGGCTCACTTGGCGTGACCCCCAGCCGGCTTCTGGGACAAAGTGACAGCAGGTACAGGGTTTAGCACTGTCGAAGAACCGGGGGAGAGAGCCCATCACCTGTGCGGGAGGAAGGGCCAAATCCCTATCAAATCCAGAGTCTTCCCAAGTGACGACATTCTGATCTCCAGTAATTCAGGGAACGCCTGCCATAAGCAAAGGGAAGGCGTACTGCTGTTGTGTGAAGTAAAGAAGTTAGAAATAAAAGCTGTGGATTTTTTTTTTTTTTTTTTTTTTTTTTGGAATCATACAAGTCAGTGAATCATAAAGCTAGAAGATTTTTTTGAAGGTCATCGCTGCTCGTCTGCCCCTCTGTTCTCCCGCATCTGACAGACGAGGGAGCTAGGCCAGGGATGTTCCATCAGAACCCGAACTCACACTGTCTCAGAGTAGGACAGGTCCCCTGGAGCAGGTCAGCCGTGGCCCAGTGCCTGCTGTGAGAGGTGCGCCTTAGGTGGTGACCCAGTACTCACCGGAGTGAATATATGATAAGCAGAAGTTCAGATGTGAAATAGTGCCCTTACTACATGGAAGGCACTTTGGTATTTCAGTTCTGTGCTGTGCGATTTCATTTAAACCGGAATGTCAGTTGCCATTACAAAAATGATTTTCAACCTGCTCAAAGTTGTAACCTGTCTTTGGAGGAGACTAATTTAGAGTGTGCGTAGCTGCCCGTTGGTGAGCCGAGGCCGTTAGGCTAAGGCCGTGTAGTTAGTTAATAGCAGATCAGGAGGCAGGACTCTTCCCAGCTATTTTTTTTCTTGTTCTTAACTGTGTTAACCTAAAAATAAAAGGCTTTTCAAAGTGAGAGGTAACAGCATTTATTTGAGATTAAAAAAAAAAAATAGAGTATCTATTCAGGGAGCATTGATGGAGGCAGAAACCCAAATAATGTTCCAATTAGGAGACAAAGGCGCTGGATATTTATGGGAAGGGGAATGGGAGCAGCTCCATCAATAGAAGGTAGGCATTTCTATTGGTGCAGAAAAGCTAACACAGCGATGTTCATTCTGAAGGATGTTTTTAATTTTCAGCCCGATAGCCATTGGTCCAGTAATCCTAATACCTGCTTTCTGGTTATGCTTGTCAACAGTTCTTTGGGACACAGAGTCGCCCGAGGCTCAGTCCAAAGGTTATTGTGCCCTTTTTTTTTAACATCTCAGAGGTTTGAGGTGTAAAATGTGTAAGACGTGGGAGGCATTTCCTCTGGGATGGGAGCTCCGGCTTCATTTTAAAGTGGCTCCATTTATGTTATTTTTTCTTAACAACCGCATGTTCCTATTTGTTGGCCTTTTACACCAGGTGAACAGAATAATTAGCACAGGCTTCTAAACTAATTTAGTTTTCCAGAATTCTCCTCCCCTTGCCAACTCCCACCTAAAAGTGAGCAAGTTGAATCCAACCCTTGTGGCAAACAGCCCCTCGGGCGGGGTCCGAAGTCTGCATCGGGGGATGGCAGCCGCCCTGCTGTCCCCACCGTCCGGGGACGTCTCTCCTCCCATCGAGGCAGCAGAACCCCTCAGAGGCCACTAAAGATTTTCCTCGCTGTCCTGCTCTGCTCCAAGCAATGTCATCGGCCGAACTAACAGAACATTCTGTGTCTTGAACACATAGTCAGCTCTGAAGTTGGGTCCTTTTATGCATTATCCCTCCATTTTGAAAGGTGGTTGGTTGGTTGTTTTTTTTTAAATGAAGCCTAAGTAGCCTCCCATGAAGAGAAACATATTCTATGTCAGGGTAACTTGAAACGTTTTTGCTTCCTATGAGGCAACTATAAGGGAGGAGGCTGCCTCCCTGTGCTGCTCTTGGCTTTATTGCAGGAGCTTTGGAATTTCTGGATTCATTCATTCATCCAGCAGCTGGTCACAGAGGGTTTCCATGGGCTGGTCTGTGGCAGTACGGTAGCCCAGCCCTCAGGTCTCTCCTGAGAGACCAGTTATCAAGTGACGACTCAAATGCCAGAGAAATGCTTTGGAAGCAGGTTTTTCCTGTTGTTCTCATCAGATGTTCAGGTTTCCTTTGAGGTCGGCATCACTCCCGCACGTTAGGCAGGCACGGTGTAAGCCCTTCCGACGAGTATCACACGCTGCTGAATGGACGGCGCATTATTCATCCCTTTCTGATTTCTAAATGCCCTTGTTTTCCTCCGTGGGCACTGAGCACTGTGGGCTCCTTCCGGAAGCCTGAGTATTTCTTTCAACCTCTGCTCTCCCTCTGCCTTTCGTAGAAAGAGCGGGATTTAGAATTGGCTGCCCGGATTGGCCAGTCGTTGCTGAAGAAGAACAAGACCCTCACCGAGAGGAACGAGCTTCTGGAGGAGCAGGTGGAGCACATCAGGGAGGAGGTGAGGAGCTGGGTGGAGGGTGCCGTGGGCGGGGTCAGAGATGACGGAATGGCCCCCATTCGGACAGGCCCTCTGCAGGGCTTGCCCAAGAACTGCCTGTGCTGGAGTGGCCACCTGCACGCGGAATGTGGCCTTCCTGCCGCTCCCGTTCTCTGTGTCTCCTCCCTGCAGTGGGGCGGGGTCGCCGCAGTGGGAACAGGCCTCGCTGAGTTGGTAGGTGCGTGGAGCCCCGGCCCCTGGCAGGCCTGGGTGTGTTGGACCGGCCACCCTCCCTTTCCTCTGAGAGGCCAGATCATCACGTGGGCTCAGAAGGATGCTCAGGGCTTGGCAAAAGCACAGATGGGCCGAGACACCAACAAGCAGGGGTTCCTGACTCAGGAGGGCAGCAGTCACCGGGTGGGACTGTGAGGTTGTCCAGGGGTGAGAGCAAGGGTGGTCAAGCCGCTTGGAGCTGCCCCCCTGGAGCTGGCCTCCCCAGGACCCCGGTTCCAGGGGATTAGGCTTTGGCGGAAGCTAATGGCCTCATCTTGCATTTGGTAACATGATCCATTTCTCTGGTCATTTGCCCAGGTGCTTGCAAAGCCCACATGCTATCTTGTGCCCCCCAGACCTCATTCTAGAACTTTCTGGTCCCTTCTCACCTCTTCTCTGTACCAAAGCAAAAATTACAAATTTAGGCTGAGGGATTTTTGCCAAAAAAGTAACTCATTGGATTTTTCTTAAATGGGATGACGCTCAACTATGTGTTTTCTTTGAATTACATAAACCAATGACAGGCCTTCACTTTTAATGAGGAATTTGAAAAATGCTGTCACTGAGCAGTAGGTGTCTGAGCACCGGCGGGGACGTTGCCCCGTGTGGGACCAGAACGATGGGCCCCTGTCTGTGTCTGTGCAGGTGTCTCAGCTCCGGCATGAGCTGTCCATGAAGGATGAGCTGCTGCAGTTCTACACCAGCGCCGCAGAGGAGAGCGAGCCCGAGTCCGCCTGCTCCACCCCGTAAGTCCCCGGAGGGCGTGTGGCGGGGGCCAGAGCGCTGGCTGGCTGCTGCCGTCCCGTCCTTGGAGCGGCCCAGGCAGGGTCAGCCGCCTCCTCCAGCAGCGCAGGCCAGCAGCTCCCGGCCTCCTCCAGACCAGGCCTCTCCCAGGGCCTCGCACGGAGGGAGGGCACTGTTTTAGTGGGATGTGGAAGGACAGGTTTTCTGTTTTCCTCTTACGGGATCATCTTGCTCGTTTGTGAGTTTAGGCTGATTGGGCTGGCCTGGCAGGGGCCACGGGGTGGGCAGGCCCTGCTGATAGAAGAGCTGCCGGGCCCTGGAGCCTGAGCTGCTGTGGCGGGGCCTCGGGGGCAGGGGGTGTGGGCGCTTCCCTGGGAGTCAGCAGAGCCTCGTGTTAGCGGCACGAGCTCCGGAGCCTGAAGGCCTGGGTTCAGTTCCCGGCTCTGTGGCTTACCAGCTGTGTGCTCTTGGCCAAGCTACTCAACCTCTCTGTGCTTGTTTCCTCATTTGTGAAATAGGGATAATAGCAGCACTTAGTTAAATCAGTTAATACATGTATGGGGGGACCAAAAAACCCACAGAATTCATTTATAAAAAATTGTGTATTTATTCTTACATGTTTAAACTTCAGTCACATTCAAAGAACTCTCCATTTGATGTAATACACCTATCGAGATTTTTTTTCCACTGCTCAGAAAAGCTTTTGAACTCATCGATTTTGATGGCTTATAGTGTTTCTACCACTTTTTGTTTCACCTCTTCCACTTCAGCAAAACATTTCCCCTTGAGGACTCTTTTCACCTCGGGAAACAAACAAAAAAAAGTCATTTGTGGTAAGATCAGGAGACTAGGGAGAGTGGAGCACAGAGTCATGCTGTTTTTGGTCAAAAACTGCTGAACACTCAGCGCAGTGTGGGCAGGTGCACTCGTAAATCACCCATCCTGAAATGGGCAAACATGTTGAAAGAGAGAAAATAATAATATTTTTTTTTACTTTGTCCTCACGCACCCTCTCACAACAACACCAGCTGGTACACTGATATAGATGGGTTCCTAGAACAGCTAGTTTGGGGAAGCCTGTCCTACAAGGGACATGCCCTCCAGAAGCTAATTCCAGTTATTTTTGCATCCTCTCCTCAAATTTAAATACATGAAGTGAGTTAATGCATGTATTTTAACAGTTGTTGGCATATAGAGGCGCATTATAAATAGTAGACTCCCAGGCATTCTGGGATCATGTAGGCTCCAAACAGAGCTGTTTGCCCTGAATTCTGAGGCGATGTGGGAACTGCAACCTGTGGACAAGGGTTGGGATGTGAGTCTGAAGTGGGAGCGAGCCTGCGTGCTGGCAGATGCTGTTGTCCTGGGGGTGAGGGAGCCTGCCGGTGCATTTCATGGCTCTCCTGGGGGCAGTCCATTGTCATCCCCCCGCCCCCGCGCCCCGTGCTGTACCAGGTGGCGAGAGGAGTGGGGCTCTCCCTAGAAAGTGACCAGACTTTCCCCCTAGGTTGAAGAGGAATGAGTCATCTTCCTCCGTCCAGAATTACTTTCATCTGGATTCTCTTCACAAGAAGCTGAAGGACCTCGAAGAGGAGAACGTCGTACTTCGATCCGAGGTGAAGTCCGCACCCTGCCCTTGTCTCCTCTGGGAGGGTGGTGGCCCCGCTCACCTTATCTGGTGAGAAAGGCCGTGGTCACAGCGCCATTCTCAAAGGCGACCGTCTGAAAGAACCCCCTGAACCTTGGCTCACCGCTGACCTGAGGCCTTGTTTACGTGCTGGGTGTTACCTCCCAGAGTGGCCCACATGGCCGGGGCGGGGGCAGACCAACAGGTGAATCACGCAGCGTGTGGATGGGCGAGGGTGGCAACCCGTCTCCTTCACAGTGAGGGCAGTGGCTCCTGCTGTGGGATCTTTCCGTGGGTTCTCCAGCTCTGACAGACCTGACTCGGAGGCCTGATGTGAAGGCCTCATGTTCATGTCACCGCGGGTGACGCGAAATAGGACCCGACGAAATAGGACCTGAGAACTTGGAGACATTTCTTGGCCCAGGAACAAGATTGAGCAGAGGCAGCTTGGGAACTCATGCTTTTGAGTATCTCTGATTGGCTAGCCTTTGTGCTTGGTACTCAGCCTGCATTATTTTTCTAAACATTTTTTTAAAAGATTTTATTTATTTACTTTTGGTGGGGAGGGAGGGAGAGAGGATGAGAAACATCAGTGTGTGACAGGATCATCGATCGGTTGCCTCTCACACGCCCCCAACTGGGGACCTGGCCTGCGACCCAGATGTGTGCCCTGACTGGGAATTGAACCAGAGACCTTTTGGTTCGCAGGCCAGCGCTCAATCCGCTGAGCCACACCATCCAGGGCGGCACATGTGACTTTTTAAAATCTTCATAACAAAGCTGGAAACTGGTGACTTTGAGTCTCATTTCCAATGGGAACACCGGGACCCAGGCAGCTAAGCGTTGTCATTTCCCAAGGTCACGCATGTTAATGAATGACAAAGCTGGGATTTGCAAGTCTCTGTGACTCCAGACCCCACTTTATATCTCCTCACCCACTGTCCCTGTCTGGAAACACTGATGCATGCAAATGTCGTACTTTCTACAGTCTTAAGTATCAGTGCGTTTGTGCTCTCTAGCCAGGGGTATGGCGCAGCCCTGTTTATCTGGCCCTTGTTTGTCAAGTTTGGGCTGATTCCCACCTGAGCTGGCCCAGCGCTCCCCAAAGCCCCTCCAATAGGGCAGACCACCTGTCACCTTGAACTTGCCCACACATCAGAAAGAACCTCACGTCTGGGCTCAACAGGACACTTCTGGGCACGAGGAAAGGATCGTGCTTAGACCTCACCTCGCCTCACCTCTACCAGCCCCTCGTTTACTGATGGGTTATTTGAACTCCCTCTGTCAGCCAGTGGCCCCGAGCTAAGACCAGAGCCCAGGGCTCCCCCTTCCGAGTCTGGTGCGGCCCCTCCCAGTGTCTGCCCCAGGTAACTGCTCTAGTCCTGGGCACACGGCCATGGTCCCTCTGTCGGAGTCTTCACCGAAAGCAAGCCGGGGAATCTGATCTCAGCTGGAGTCCGGCCACCCCACCTCAGCTTTCAGGAGGGGAGCGTCCCTCCGGGCCCAGAACCTGAGGGCTCAGAGACACCTGTCTAAGCGGGCCCTTGTGACCTCTCTCTTCCCACCTTTTTAGCCGGGAGCAAGCTGTACAGAGTCCTGGAATAGCTCTTGGGTCTCTGAATTTTAAGGCTTTCATGTTGTCCTTAGCTTTTGCTTCGCTGATTGCAACAGGCTTAACTCCAACTCAGAACCTTACAGGACAGCAGCCAGCACATAGTAGGTGAATTCATTAGCTGTTCTCGTTGTGGTTGGCCTTAGAATGCCCGTAGTAGGCCGAGCTGGGTCCTAGGCACTATTTGGGTCACAGACGGGTTCCTGTGAGCCTGAACAGGCGCAAATGAATAGACAGACAGATTGGACACAAGGATGGCTAAGCAGGTGTATAGCTCCAGGGAGCATGGCTTTGGGTGGTGCCCCTAGTGGTACATCTTTCAGCTTTGAGATACTGAGATTCATTAGCCAATAAGGAGGGGATTCTGGTTGACTTTCTGTGTTTGAGGGTGCAATGGGTGACAGGCCCCCCTACTCGGGTGTGAATATGGGGCCTCTGACCTTGGCCTTGTCCACAGGCCTGCCAGCTGAAGACGGAGACCATCACCTACGAAGAGAAGGAGCAGCAGCTGGTCAACGACTGCGTGAAAGAGCTGAGTATGTCGCCAGCCCTCGCCCTGCCTCCTGCTCCCTCTCTTTACTTCTGCGTCTGCCCTCATTAGGACCAAACAGATCCACGTCCCCTGACGAAGTGCCGTCTCCCTGCCAGCCAAGGCTCAGTAGCATTTTGCACAAAACTAGAGCCCCCCTGATCTTGTGCGGCACGTCTCCCCGGATCTGTGAGAACTTGGGGGCTAGGTGGTCAATCGTACATTGTCTCAGCTTATTGCTGAGATGGGTATTTTAATTTTGCTTTCTATTAGAATATTGGAATTATTTCGCAGCATAGCTTCAGAGTCCTATGTTGAAAGATGGGGAAAACTGCTTTCTACGTTTGATTTATGAAAGTTGCGGCAAGAGATCTTTTCACCCTCTCCATTATAGGGTGACAAGTTAAGATTAGACAAAAAGGTACACAGACTGTTTTGAGTTTGAGCAAAATACTAAGTCAATGAAACACACCCTAAGTTCAAATCTAGTAAAGTGAGTCATGGCTCTGAATACGGGCTGAAAACGCCCAAGGGAATTGTTCCGGGCATGGCAGTATTTCGTTTATAGGGCAGGCTCAGCAGGAGTTCCTGTCGATGGCATGGATTTGTTCATGGGTGGAAAGCAGGTTTTGGCCAGACGCACCTTCAGGTTGATGTGGCATCTCCTGGCTGAGCCCTGAAGGCCACCTGATTGTCTCCTGGGAGGCGGCCGTGGCCAGCGGGGTTGGGCCTCCCACTTAGCCGCCAGCCGCAGCTGGGGGCCGGTTCCTTCTCATGACAGACAGGTGGAGCCGAGGAAGCCGGTCTGCTTCGCTTCACGTTAGAGCAAACGGGGTGCCCCGAGCTCCTCCTTTTTATGTCCTGTTCGCCCGCCCCCACCAACCTCGCCCTCGTAACAGAGACGCTTTTCCTGGTACCAAGCACAAAGAAACCGTTCTCCATCTGCGTGTGGGGCTTTCTGACTTAATCTTGTGACTGTCATTTCTTGGTCCAAGGGGATGCCAACGTGCAGATTGCTAGTATCTCTGAGGAACTGGCCAAGAAGACGGAAGATGCCGCCCGCCAGCAGGAGGAAATCACGCACCTGCTGTCGCAAATAGTTGATCTGCAGAAGAAGGCCAAAGCTGTAAGGTTCTGGCTGGTTCAGGAGGGGTCGTTCTGAGATTGAAAAGCCGCATCCACCCCGAAAGACAGTGCTCTTCAGTTTCACACCTTAGGAGTGGCTGCTCCTTGGCAGAAAAAAGCTTAGCAGATTCAATAGAATACTATCTGTCACCACTTGTCTCCTCAGAGTAATCTTCAAATTAATTAAGTTCACTAAGAAAGGTGCTATAGATCCAGAATTTTGGAATTTAGCTTACGAATCATCTAGCCTAGTATTTGCTTTGACGTACCATGCCTGGCTATGTTCTGCAGCAGAACAGAACCCCCTTTAGATTTAAGATGCAGCAGCCCCCAAACAGTTGGATTTCTGGGTTAGACCTTTGCTGGAAGCAGACAGCGAAATGCTTCCGAGAGCAGATGCGGCCGGGGGTGGGGGTGGAGTGGGCCATAGAGAATGAATATGCATGTAGGAAAGACCGCCTTCCCAATTATAAAACAGGTGCAAGTTTCCTCCAGTATAAGATACAAGTCATTGTAGAAGTGTTGTGGGATCCTAACAGATCAGGTCTTTAGAGGGGGAAGGTTAAGCTTTTCTAAGTGTCCTGAAAGAGAAGCTGACTTCCCCGTGTCCCGTTCCAGTGCGCAGTGGAAAATGAAGAACTCGTCCAGCACCTGGGGGCGGCCAAGGATGCCCAGCGGCAGCTCACGGCCGAGGTAAGAGCCTCCCCCTCTTTTCATCGGGGCCCCCGATGCTGGTTCGGGGGCAGCGGCCTCGGGGCTGCAGGGCACGTTCCCCTCAACAACCACTTTCATATTGAACTGAATGCCGGTTTTACTCCGAAGCTGATTTCCACTGATGCTCTTATTGATAGTGAGCAGCCGGAAGCCTGGGTCTCCCCCTGCCCACATGTGCCCGGGCTCTCGATAAACAGTCCAGGAAGAGGTGACACAGAGCACATCCTGTCAAGGGAGCCCATTCAAAGACACCCTGGAGACCAGGGTGTCGCGATTTGCTCTCCCGTTGGGTTAAAGATGTTTTTCATCTCAGTTGCCCCCGGTTGGTGGTGTAGGAGATTTCTGAGTCTGTCAGTGGCGCCACATGTGAAAGAATAACCGAACCTTGAGGACCCTGGGGCGTTTGGCTTCAGGCCAAGGGTGCCGGGGCTTCTGTGAGCGCCCAGTGTCTGGCTGTGTGGGTTGGTGGCCATGTCCCCAGGGCTCACGAGGTGTCTCCCTGGCCCCCGCAGCTGCGCGAGCTGGAGGACAAGTACGCAGAGTGCATGGAGATGCTGCACGAGGCGCAAGAGGAGCTCAAGAACCTGCGGAACAAGGCCATGCCCAACACCACGTCGCGGCGCTACCACTCGCTGGGCCTGTTTCCCATGGTGCGTGCTGCTGCGTCCTGATGCCCTGCTTCCCCTGCCGCCAGAGGCACCAGGCCGGGGTTGGGGTGGGGCAGGTAGAGTCTGTGCCAGTTGCTTGTCCTTTTGCAGCTTGGATCTGGGTTCGAGCTGAGGGCTCCTGAAGCCCCAGCTGGTGAGGCAGATTGGTTTTTCATTTCCATCTCTCTGCATCTGTCATTTTTTTCTCCTCCTGCTTTGAAGAGATAAATGTAGTAGGAGCGAGATTTCGTAGGAACCTCAGATATTTGGAAGATGTTATCCCATGTTATTTTTTCGAGCCTATGAGTACATGCTACTGTTGCCCCGCGAGAGCATTCTGGAAATTTAATTGCCTGCATGGCTCTGCAGGCTCTTTGTTGGCTTATCAATCTTCTTCTGGTGGCTTTCAGTATCGGTGATCTGAAAAAATATTTCTGTCTGGCCTAGGTATGGTATTTTTTTTTTTTCCATGTGGTTTCCCCCACAGTCTTATTGTTTAACCCAGGCCTGACTTGCTTCCTGTTTGGACTTCTGGGAACATGGCTGAGAAGGGGGTTTTCTAGGAGGTTAGCTCTCCCTCTAGCTTTGGGCAGCCCCTGGCCAGTTGTGTTCCTGTAGCACTTACTGAGCTGACTCCTTTTATCTTGTGTCAGACCGAAGGGCTGGGAGCTGAGCACCATGTCGGTTTTCATTTTCTTCACTCCCTCCCTTTATGACCCTGCACCCAGAACTGTCGATGCCGAATAGATACTAGATTTGGATGTTGGATGGACAGACTGATGAACAGACTACCCAGAACTTTTATGGTGGGGCTCTGTTTCCATGGTTTGGGAAAATACCAGATTTTCCGAGGAGAGAATTTTTGAGAGAAACTCCCCTGAGTGAGGTGGGAGTGGATCGCTGCGTAAATGTTTAGGGAACCTGGTCCTTTCTGAATTTGGCATTTCCTGGGGCTCTTTCCCTTCACCCCACCCCTTGTTGTCTGGTCCACTTTTCCTAAATCACGACCTCTTTTTCTTTGTTGTTTTCATACATCCAAGTCAGGCTGGAACTGTTTCTCTTTTTCTCTCAACTTGACTGAAATCTAATGAAACTAAAATACAGGCACAGAACATAAATAACCCATTTTCCAAGGAGCAGAATGGTGATCCAGTGATTCCAGGAATCCCAGGAAAGAACACTGTTCCCTGCCACAGACGGTGTGGCTCAGTTAGTGGGCACATCGTCTCAGAACCAAGAGGTTGCGGGTTCAATTCGCAATCAGGCCACAGGCCTAAGTTGTGGTTCTGAGCCTCTGTCTGAGCATGTGTGAACCCCCATCCAGATGCATATGAACCCCAGTCTGGGCACAGGTCTTTATGGGAGGCAGCCAATTGGTACTTCTCTCTTGCACTGATGTTTCTTTCTTTCCCTCTCTCTCTAAAAGCAATGAAATGTCCTCAGGTGAGATTAAAAAAACAACAACAACATTCTGTCCTCCGCAGTTCCTCAATCTAGAGCTGAACACACTCGGCTTACAGACTGGCCTGCGTAGCTTTGCACAATTCTTGCCTCAGTTTCCCTCCTTCCTGGCTTCTCATCTGGGTGCGGTGGTCTCCCAGGCCCTGTGCAGCTAGGACTCACTCCTTTGCATTCCCCGTTCTCCAGGACAGACAGACAGACAGACCTGTATTTTTCCAATTTAAACCATGACTTGAAAAAAGTGGAATTGAAAATCTGAGATTGGGTTTCTTCTGAAGAGATCTCAGCTTTCATATTTGCTGAGATAAAGCCTTTGTTTGCCTTTTTCTGTAGCTGTTGGCACGGCTCTGTTTTTAGAGCTGTCTCCTTTTAAAGTACATGATACATGAAAAGGTATTTAAATCGATTAAAGTTAAACACAATCAACAATTCAGGTCCTCAGTCACACTGACCACATTCAAGGGCTCAGTAGCCCTGGGTGGCTGGTGACCCCCCTCTTGGGCAGAAAGAGAACATTCCCATCGTCACAGGAAGTTCTGCTGGTTAGCACGGCCTTAACTCTTCCCTTCAGTTTGTCCTACATGAGCGACCTCCTGTGAGACCTTAGCAGGTGCTTTTCTGCATACACCTGGTTCTGTTGGCATCTGCCTGTATCTGTGTGTGGGATCGTCCGTTAGGCGTCAGCTCACATAGTGAGAAGCGACACAGGTGGTTCAGAACCCTGGGTGAGCTGAGCAGTTAGCAGACCCTGCTGACTGGGAGATTGATAGCCCGGTGCAGCCAACAAGGGCACATCATCTCTCGCTGCTTGTAAGCTTGGTGGCCTGTGGCTATTCGCCCATCTGTGTCATTCTGAACACAGTCGTCTCCCTGTGCAAGCTCTCTGCCTCTCCTGGAGCCACAGTTGCAGCTCCATGGTTTGGCCAAGAGAATGTAGGACTTGTCTTCAGACCCTTAGCTGCGTGGAAGCGAAGGGGCTTTCCACTCAGCGCCGTTGGGACCTGCTGCATTCTGAGCCTGCCCTGGGAATTGCGTAGCCAGGGTCTCCGACGGTGGCAAATGCTGTCAGTCCTGTGTTGGGGGAAGCCTGAACGTTTTGAGGCTTCAGTTTGCCCTCCGATGGCTAGCCCGGGCACGTGCCTCCTTTAGAGATAGAGCGTTTGAGTTGCTGCTCACACGTGTGTCTCCTGGCTTTTCCCAGGACTCCTTGGCAGCCGAGATCGAGGGGACGATGCGGAAGGAGCTGCAGTTGGAAGAACCCGAGTCACCAGACATCGCGTATGGCCTAACCCCTGAGCTTCCCAGAGAGACCGCATGGTGACCCGTGGTGATCAAAACGAGCACTGTTAAGGCCTCAGGCTCCAACAGTGGTCCCTGCGGTCCTTCCACAGATTGGGGGGAATAAGAGAACACAGCGGGCAACATCCCCCTGCTCCCTTGTTAGGTTTTACAGATACACTGTGAACTTCCAGAAAGTTGGCAGAGGAGAGATGTGTTTCCCATCTCTCCTAATAACACAAGCTCTGCCTGACACCTCCATTCATTTTTATCTTTCCTCTCAGAGAAAAACAGTATTTAAAAAAATTTTAACACCTTTTAGGGAAAGAAAAAAATAAGACTCCTGTTTCCCTTTTGGATCCGTTTAGGGATATCGGCCTCTGTGTCTCTCTTCCTAGCTCGAGACCTTGTGCTTGGCCTGCCCTGAGGTATTTATGAGGAAACCGTGGATCTGATTCCGTTGTGTTTTCTCTGTACCAAAACCCCATAGACAGAGATGGACAGGGGTCGGGGGAGCGGCCAGTGTCCCTGCGCCTCAGCACAGGTGTGAAGCCCCTCCCAGGAGGAAGCAGCCATTGTAGAAACGTGTCTTTTTCTCCTTACGCGGGAACAAGTGGACATCACATTGCGTGGTGCTGCTCTCAGAAATAGCAGTTTCTAAAAACAGACTAATCTGTTGTTTATCACCTCAGAAGTTTAAGACAAACTTTGAGACTTGCTTTTTTTTAATACACAGTCATGTGCTGTATAATGACATTTTGCTCTGTGATGGACCACATATATGACGGCGGTCCATAGATTATAATGGAGCCTAAACTTCCTGCCACCTAGTGATGTCATAGCTGTTGTCACGTCACAACCCAGCGCGTTATGTATGTGGCGATGCTGGTGTATACAGACCTACTGCCCTGCCAGTCACAAAAAAGCATATCGCATACAATTATGCACAGCACATAATACTTGACAATAGACAACTAGATTACTGGCTTGTGTATTTATTATACTTCTGTTATTTTTTAGAGTGTACTCTTTCTACGTAAAAAGAATTTGCTGTGAAACAGTATGATGTGTTATGCCTGCAGCAGCTTTATGTGCCCCAGTTCACCGCAACTCTTGATAGCATTTGTCTCATGTGCTTGATTTGATCTCATGTTGTTTTGTGCAGTAGCATGCTGTGCAGGTTTGTAGCCCTGGAGCCATAGGCTTTCTCATCTAGGTTTGTGTACGTGCCTTCTGTGCTGTTTACACAATGACAAAATTGCATAACGATGCATTTCGCAAAATGTTTCCCAGTCATTAAGCAGCACATGATTGTATATGAATAATCAAGAAGTACTCACTCTACAAATGTTTTTTGAGCCCTACTATGTGCTGAGCAGTGACCACTGCCCTCCTGGAGTTTGAATTACAGTGACTGTCATGAAAAAAAAACTAGCTAGGAGACAGAGTACTATTTAAATATTTTTATTTGTAGGTCAAGCTTAAGGCAGGTGGAAAGCAGTATCTTTTGCTAGCGTCACTTTTAGGGCATAAGCACACATTAGAGCCCGGAAGTTGGTGGGTGGTGAGTCTCCTGAATTCCAACCAATGCCCTAAGAAATATATGGAAGGCACAAGATGGCAGGTTGCTTGGACACTCACCTGGGCCAGCTACCTTTTTGTCTTCTCAGTTGATAGTTTTTAGAGGGTTTAACTCCAAGGTCATTCCTACATTTGTTTATTCATGGATGATATTGTGCATTCTCCCCAGCCACCAAAAGCGAGTCTTTGAGACTGTGAGAAACATCAACCAGGTTGTCAAGCAGAGGTCTCTGACACCCTCCCCCATGAACATCCCTGGCTCCAATCAGTCCTCGGCCATGAACTCCCTCCTCTCCAGCTGTGTCAGCACCCCCCGGTCCAGCTTCTATGGCAGTGACGTAGGCAATGTCGTCCTGGACAACAAGACCAACAGCATCATCCTGGAAGCAGAGTCGGCCAACATGGGGTGAGCCAGCCAGGAGTTTTTACCTGTCTGTTTTGGAGAGAGGTGGTGTGGATTGAACACAGGTTCAGTAATCAGAAGAGAGAGACTGATAAGAATCACCTGAAAAATACAGACCCTTTAGTTCTCAAATGTGTTTTACCCACCCACTGAGTCCATGTTTATCCTTGGTACTGATATTTTAACCAGTTTAAGAAGGTATTACAAGATGCAGCAGGAAGTCTGCTTTTCTGAAAAATGTCAAAGGGGTGGATAAGTAAATATTTGTTTCTGTTAATCTTCACCGTTAAGGCTAAAGGGTAGACATTTGTTTTATGAACTCTTCTGTGGCTGGGATGTTTGAAAGGCTGAGGAAGACTCAGGTGCTACCTCATGACCAGGATCTGGTTTGCCCCAGAAGGTGGGGTGCAGGGTGCCCCGCAGGTGCCTACCACACCAAGTGCCCCTGCGGTGGGCCTTCCTCAGCAGGGATTGGTCCCTCTCCATCCTGAAGGCCTGCAGAACATACCCCAACATTGTCTACTATATGCACACTAATTCCTGTGTGTTAATAAAATTGGCTTTTCTGACCAGTTGGTTCAGACTGTTGGGAAACTGCATCATTAGAACAGTTTTGAGGTTGTAGCTCCTTAAATTCAAGAAGAAAGAAAAGCATCTCTTGAGCCTGCTGCCCTTTTGGTAACTAGGAACTGCAGCTAAAGAAAGCTTCTTCCTAAGGGAGGCGTTTATAGGGACTAGATTTTACATCATATATGCAAATTTTCGTTCTGCCTGAGTGCTTTCTTCCCTTTGCTCCTCCCTAGCTGCGCCCCGCACCCCCAGAAAAAAACCCAACAGAGGGAATTAGTTCTTCAGGACAGGGCCTTTGTTTCCCCATTTTTGCCTACATTTCAACAGCCTGCTTTGGTTTCCTTAGAAAATACTGCAGCCACCCTTGCACATTCAGTATTGAGGCCTCGTTGTGTGCTGTACAGCGCCCCCTGATGGTGTCCCACACTCACCCCATCTCTCCTCTTTCCAGAAACAACGAGCAGAGTAAGAAGCCTGGGACACCAGGCACCCCAGGCTCCCACGACCTGGAGACAGCACTGAGGCGGCTGTCCCTCCGCCGGGAAAACTACCTGTCGGAGAGGAAGTTCTTTGAGGAGGAGCAGGAAAGGAAGCTCAGGGAGCTGGCGGAGAAGGGCGAGCTGCTCAGTGGGGGCTCCCTCACGCCCACCGAGAGCATCATGTCCCTGGGCACGCACTCCCGCTTCTCTGAGTTCACCGGCTTCTCGGGCATGTCCTTCAGCAGCCGCTCCTACCTGCCTGAGAAACTCCAGATTGTGAAGCCACTGGAAGGTGATCACCAGGGCCCTCGGCCCCTCTCTGCCCTTCTTGGGGACTCCCTGTGGTCTCTGATCCACCACCAGCCAGCGGGGAGCCTCTGTCATGCCTACTCCTTTTTCTTCAAGGATAGCCACCCGCGCTGCTGGTTTGAGTTCCTCTGAGGAGCTCCCGCCTAGACCCCCAGCTCCCCAGTGCAGGTTTGGAAATGCACACACAGGCACCCAGACTAACTTGGGCCAGGAAGCCAAAGAACAGAGCAGGTTGACGTTGGCTTTCTAGTTCTCTCTTTTGCATTTAGGTCCCTAGCAATGCAGATCTTTTAGCCAGAGGCATTGCCCACATACTCAGAAGTTCCTTAGGTCCTAACCCAGGGGTCTGAGCAGTGTAGAGAATGAATGCTTTGACTCCTTGGAAATTGCGGTGCCAGGGAAGGAGGAGTACAAAGCAAACGCTCTAAGTTTTCTCTGTAACCACATGAAAGCGATTTGCGATTTGTCTTTGCAATTTGTCAGCTCACATGTTCTGCTTCAGTCTTCAAATAAAGAGTGTGGCTTTCTTCCTATGCAATGTTCTGAGCAAGGGTCCCAGACCACCACTATTTGGGGTCCAGGAAGGGGGTGGCTGGGAAGGCCAGGGAGTTCTGTGCCTCCTTCATCCCGCGTTTTCCAGGGGCAATTACCTTTTTACTACCAGGGACACCCGAGACGATTAAACTCGTGGAAAAACACACCTCTTTTTCTTTCTTTTTCCTTCAGGCATTATAAAATGTCTGTCTGCCCTTTACCTGCCACTACCTGGCCACATGTCTGTAATTTTCATTTTCTACTCCTTTAGTGTGGAAACCCATGTGAATTTGAGAAAGATGTCTTAGAATTCTGTATTACATTTCTGATGAAAACTCAAATCAGAATTTCTGTAAGGCAGTATTTTTCAACTTTTAAAAAAGTTTTGTTCCCTTTAAGGAGCCATCTTAGATATTTATTCCCCCAACAATGTAATACTACAGATATGGGGGGCAGTCTCTCCCCTTTTTGAGAATTTCTGCTATAAGATGAGGGTGTGCTTGTTAAAGACCCAAGACAAGCTGGGTTCCATATTCTCCAAAGGAAGGAAGAGGGCGGGTTCCGTTCTTTTTTTCATGATTATTTGTGAATTGTGTAATTTAGGTCCTTCTTAGATTTCAGAAAAGGGATGGCTCATTTTTTTTTTCATGTTTATTCAGTTGTAAGTTTGGTGATTGTTTTCTGATCCACGATTATGTCTGTTTTTCTTTCAATAAAGTCTCCCATTTCTGCAATTTTACTTTCTGCCTTTCTTTTCTTTTTTCTCTTTTGTCTCTCAGAGATCATTGGAGTTTATCATCTTTATCTTGTCTACTTTCTGTATTTGACTTTGTGTTTCATTAGATCATCTAAGAATATGCTTTTGGGTCCATTTTCCAAGTATTAGTGCAGGGAGAAATTTTTTTTAATTTATTTTGAACAATACATCTTTTTTTCTTTTAATCTTGTGACTTAGGTAGCAGTATTTTTGTAGTAAGTTAATGAAGGAAGAGGTAACCCCATTAGATTTGCAAGATAAATTTCATTTATAGTACCCTGCTCAACAGAAAACTAAATCACTACCATTAAGACATTCATCTCTTATTGCTATGGCCTGTATTGCATCCTCATGATAGAGGTCCCTCTGGCTCCATGTTGTAGTTCTTAGACTTTTTAGTTGTTTAAAACACAACCAATATTTTATTTCTTCCTCCCCTCCACAATTATTTTTTTGTGTCACTATGTTTAATCTGATAAGGTGTCCTGCTGGCATGGAAATCTATGTGACATCCAGTTCAATGCCACTCTAACTGTAGCATTGGATAAGTTACCTCACCTTTGTGATCCCTCCCTCCCTTATTTATGACGAAGAGTAAATGTGATGTGCTTTGTATTATGGCCGGTACCTAACTGGTGCTAATTAAAATCTAGGGTCCCCAAACTTGTCCCTGTTGCAGCAGCTTAGGTCTAAAGATGACCTTACCAGTGTTGAGACGTGGACCAGCATTGTGCTGGGGCCACGTTCTTACTTCATCTCTTTCCACTGGCCCACCAAGAAGCTGATAGGATTCCCGTGATCTCCAGTGACCCAGGTAAACGTACCCGAGATGAGGCCCCTGGAGAACATGGGCTGGGATCACAGCAGATAGCCGATCTGTGTCTTCCATCGGTGTCTCCCTTACCTCTTTAATCAATCTTGCTATCTGCTTATTGGACGCAGCCAAAATAGCTGGACTGGGTGTTTAAGAATGCGAGCACTCCTGTTTCTTCAGCTTACCTTACATGTTTGAAGCAGGTGAAAAACAAACAAAACATTCAGACTGGAAGAGATAAATGTGCATTAAAAAGATGAGTTGGACAGTATTTTTCCCCTGAGCTTTGCTCTTCCTTTTTGATTCATTATGACCCAGGTAGTATTTCCAAATTAACAAGATAATGTGTAATTAGGGAGAAGCATGCACTTCTAAGCTGTCATTACCCAGCAGGTTTAGTTCTTTTAGGCACCTCCTTTGGTGACATGAATATTTTTTAGTTAGGACAGTGGGGTGTGGAAGGAAGGCCAACAGAGGGACACAACACAAGTATGTTTTCTGTGCTCTCCACGCCCCTGTTTCTTAGGATTTCACCTCAGTGCTGACTACAAACACGAAGGTTGCTCTCTTCCCCAGCCCTGTGGCCTGGGCCACAGCCCATCGTCACGGGGGTGGGAGGAAGTGATGGTAGAGGGAGGCAGGTAATAGTGCAGTCGGTCCTCACTTAACGTCATCCGTGGGTTCTTGGAACTGCCATTCAGGTGTGTGAGTGACCTGGTTTCTGAGACTCACGTATGGGAGGCCCCCTCGCTGCTGGCCGGGAGGTCAGCCTGTGTGGTTCGGAGGACGGGCAATGGGGCCAGCCTGGGTTTGACTCCCAGCCCAGCCTCTTGCCAGCAGTGCAGCTGCTGGCACGTTACTTTACCTCTTTGTGCTCATCTGTAAAGTGAGAGTGACAGGGTTATCGTGACGATTGAGTGAACTAGTAAATGTAGACTTCTAAGAGGTCTGCATATTGAGGTGCTAGACACTTGGTAAGTGCTCAGGAAAAGTTAGCTGTTCTTTGATGAGGAAGGGAGGCCCAAGGCATGGGATAGAAACCCCAGTCCATGCATCTTTTAGCGTAATCTTTCCTTTGTAACCTCACTAAATTTTATTGGCTGTGGGTTGTCAGGGAATGCAAATAACCCCATGCAGTTCCGTAGCCTCGTTAACTCCCAAAGCAGCCCCTTCATAGGCTTGTTTCTCTCTGGAGCCAGGCATGGGATGGGGGGGAGAGGGGGGCCGTCTGTTGAACAGGAGGATCGCGGCTCATGGGACTCTGGTCCGGGCACATCCGCCAGCCTCCCCAGGTTCTTTCTCAGCGTGTGGTAAACATCTTGAGCCCCCTTCAGAAGCATGATGAGATTCGGCTGCTCCTTGACATGGCCACATTGTACCTGGGGATTTCTCATCGTCCTTCTAAGGCCGATAGTGCAGTCCCAAGCCAGAGGTCACATGCCTTGTGGAACACTTCTCCCCCTGTACTTTTGTTGCCAGGAATGTGCCTGTGCCTCCAGTGAACACATGAACAGGGGGCATTGTGGATTCCAAATGGGGGTCCCGGGGCGGGGGTGAGGACATGAGAAATCCCTTGAGCAGAAGTGTGTGTGTGTCTCCTGGTGGGTCCTGGACACGCACCTGGAAGCTCATTGCCCACCATTTAGGCTTCTCTCTCACTCTGCATCCTTGGTTAGATTGCTGATGTCCTTGCTTGTTTTCAGACCTGTGGATTGGGGGCGGGGGAGCAAGGGCGGGGGGCATACCCGTAGATTACTGAAAGAACCTGGCCTTAGCACTGGACCCCGGCTGTGCCACCACTGACTCAGCGGCTTTGGAAAGTCCTGTCACTTCATTGAGCCTCGGTTCCGTCCTGGGTGAAGCGTGGGTAATTATTCCTCCCAGGGCGGTTTTGAGGAGGGAGTTGCTGTAACACAGGTAAACCAGCTGCCATGCAAGCATGCCTCCGTGCAGGACAGCTCTTTGTAAAACGCGATGCTCTGGCACCTGGGCCTCAGGATCCCATGAACTGGTCTCAGCGTGCGTGCGAAGCCCGGGCCATGTGTGCACAGTGAGGCTTACGTGAGGCATCCCTTTGGGGAGAGGGTCCACGGCTGCCTTCAGGTTCTCTAAGGACCTGAGAATTAAGAACCACAGCCACAGAGAGGTCAGGGTTTCTCCATCTCCCCACGGTTGACATTTGGGCCACATCATTCTTTGTTGCGGGGGCTGTCCTGTGCGTCATAGGATGGATATAGCATCCCCAGCTTTACCCACTGGATGGCATTAGTAGCACAGTTGTGACAACCAAAAATGCCTCTAAATATGACCAAATGTCCCCTGCAGGGCAAAATCGCCCCCCATTCAGAACCAATACTCTAAGCATATCTTACCACCTAGTGAGAGAACAGGTATTTGATGCCCTCTTCTTTATACACACCTCTCTTTAAATGTTACTTTTCTTTTTTGCATTTAGAATCTTTTCCATTTATATTTAATAGAGTCTGGTTAAATAGCTTGCTGTTGTACTCGTGCATACTTAATGCAGGGACAGACCTCAAAACGGGAGTCCACGAAGCCTTCTAAACATGTACTGGCAGTGGGGACAGTTTCTTCTCCTAAGTGGGTTTGAATTTGCCCATTTATGAAATGCTTTCATGGCTCCTTGGCTGAGTTTGTCCCATGGGAAGTAATATGAGGCCTCCCAGAGGGTCAGGAGCTCCTAACTGATGAGTGAGGGTCTTTGTGTCTCAGCCACATTCCTGGTTGGCTTCCTGACCTCACCGACTGCCTTCCTTTCCCTTCAGTTCCATCTTGACCCCTGAGCTGCTGGCTCCCAGCATCCTTGGCTCCCATTCTGACGGGGCAGCCTGGTGGCCTAGAGGGGTTCTTGACCATCCCCGCCAACAGAGGACACTGTCAGTAAAGCAGCAGTGACCGTCGGGGAGGCCACGTGTGTGGGAGGGCCTGTGCCTTCCATTGCCCGAGCCTTTCTCTCAAAGTCTGTCTTGAGTGTAGAATGTCTATGTGTGTGGTTAACTTCATCGGCGCGGTGAGGACAAAACACCCAGCCTCACCGGCCATGCACCCGTAATACCAGGGCCATGGGAGGTGTAGCTAGTGCTCCAAGGAGACAACGGGCTCGGCAGAATCACAGCTCACAGCCACGTACCAAAGGTTCATTAGGGATCCTCAGTAAATACATTTTGCAACCCAGGTTTCCTAAGCGCACTTGGCCTTGGACCGCTTCTCTTTGTGGGCCCCTGTGGCACCCTCGAGGTCCTCGGACACACTCTGGTGTTCTTACAGATCTTGCATGACGCCATCTCCAGGCCTCGGGTCCAGTGTTACCGGGGAGATCGGCTCCTCTGCCTCAGACCTCTGTGTGGACCTAACTGCGTTCTTCAGTCACGCCTTGTTTAGGCCAGGCCCCTGTCCTTAAACCGGGGGCGTCCCGCAGTTGCAGATGCAGAACCCCTAAGTAAAGTAGTCCAGGGCCGTGCCTACCGCTCACCTTTGTGCCACTTCCATTTCTTTTTGCTTTTCTCTTCTTGCTGCTCCTGGGGTTGGCTTGACATTGTCCTGTTCTGCCTCTGCTGTGTGTCCCCTGTTCCGAGCAGTGTGTACTCAACATAGAATCAGGACACATTGCCCTCTCCTTAAACCCCCTTTTGTGCCTGTCGTGCTTATTTTTCCTCTTCTGTTCCTGAAGTGATTCTGTGTTGGGTTTTGGGGTTGACATCAGTTGGTTTAAAATGATGTGTTTGTCCCAGACATCCTTGGCACACAGTATGGCATGAGTTTTACTTAAAATTTAAAAAAAAAAAATTTTATTCCTTAAATGGGCACCCCGTCCAGGTGTGGTGGGTATTGGCTGCAGATGCACAGTGGGAAGGGGAGGCAGTTCCCCCCCGACCCCCGCCAGCCCCGGTCCCGACCAGAGCCCAGCTACTGCAGAGCTCAGCGCCCTCCAGGGCTCCTGAGGGTGGTCAGCAGCCGTTGGCTTCGACGTCCACGCTAACCCTCTCTTCTCCCTGTCCCCCCTTGTCCGCCCTTCCTCCTGCCAGGTTCTGCCACCCTTCACCACTGGCAGCAGCTGGCCCAGCCTCACCTTGGGGGCATCCTGGACCCCCGGCCCGGCGTGGTCACCAAGGGCTTCCGGACACTGGATGTTGACCTGGATGAAGTGTACTGCCTTAACGACTTTGAAGAAGACGACACAGGTGACCACATTTCCCTCCCGGGCCTAGCTACCTCCACGCCAGTGCAGCACCCAGAGACCTCAGGTGAGAGGTCCCGAGCACATGTGACTGTCTCAGGCAGCAGAAGTTACCCGAGCCGGCCTCAGGCTTTCCCAGAAGAGATGCAGGAGCCGCCAGCGGCCACGGAGGAGGAGGAGGAGGAGGAGGAGGAGGGGTCTGGTGAGGGCACCGAGATACGTCCTGTAAACCGGGCACCTTTACCGGAGGCAGAGTTCTGGGCCATTCTCACCTCTGTCCCGAACACCATCCGTAGTGCCTCTCTGTCTGTAGCTTCCGCTCGTCTGTGTGGGTGACGATGAAAGCACTCCCATCATGCAGTTCTGGTTTCTAACGCAGCGTCGGATGCCTCCTTTTGTAACCAATGGGTACAGCTCCCTGCCCATCCTGGAGGTGCGCAGCCCAGCAGGGCTCTTGAAGCGGGAGCAGGAAAGGCTGCTAAAAAGAAGTGGATTATTGGCCCCACCCCCCTCCCAGAACATCAGCTCCCCTCCTCCTGATATGGACCTCTCCCTGTGTCAAAAGGACAGATTCTTGAGTCCCCTGGTGATGTCCAAGCTGAGCTGAGTTGGGCAGTTTTAGGGGGAGTGATGAGTTCTGGATTGTCCAGAAGGTGAGATGAGAGAATCCGTTGCCCACGTACTGAATTAAAGTGGGAGAAAGCCCAAAAAGTGTTCAGAATTTTAGGCCATACTTGATCAGCCTTTGTACTTTTCTGCCTGGAATGAAGGCATATGAGTTTCCTTTCCAGCTCTTATTTTTTCAGAGTGGACTTTAAAAAAAGTGTTTTAGCAGTACTCCTTAACTGAGCGCAAGAGGGTATCAGGAAGGTCTTTCAGAGGGCGGACGCTAGGCGCATCCGGGAAACCGCTCGGGCTAGTCTCCCCTCTAACCCCTCCCCCAGCGTCGCAACAGGCATTAAAGCTGAGACCAAGAGTTTACAGAGCTGCCCGCCTCCTAGGTGCCCCTGGGCTGAAAAGCTTCGTGCTGAGGGCCCTGGGGTCCCGGGGGTCATGGGGTTACTAGCTGCCAGACTTCTTGGATCTCCGGGCTGCTTGCGCTAAGACGAGAAGGAGGCTTTTATGGGGTAAAGGGAGAGACCCAGAAAAAGATGAATTAACCAATGTTTTTATCCTCATGACATTTGCGAGTCACTGTGTTTGAAAGGAGGACATTCATTCATCTTTGTGATTCATAATTTTTACTCATGAAGGCCACAGCGTCCCCTACACAATACAAGGAAGGACAGAGCTGAGGTTGTTGGTGGCATCTCTCTCGCTTTTTTTAAAAATATATATTTTTTAAATTTATTTTTTAGAGGGGAAGGAAGAGAGAAAAAGAGGGAGAGAAACATCGATGTGCCAGAGAAACATCGCTCAGTTGCCTCTCACACGCCCCAGCTGGGGACCTAAACCACAGCCTGTGCATGTGTCCTGACAGGGAATTGAACCAGTGACCTTATAGTTCATACGCTGGTGCTCAACTCCCTGAGCCACAGCAACCAAAGCTCTTGGTGGCATCCCTCACCCCCTGGCTGAGTTGAGATGCTTATGGCCAAGGGACTTTATTTGGGACCAACTTTTCTTTTTTCTTTAACATAAATTATAGAGGCATCATCAAGTTAAAAGGATGTGTTTAGCATATAGATTTATTTATGGTTTATTTCATTTTCTGTAGCAACTAAGTTATCGGATTAAGCTTGCAAGGGGATGACAATGCTTATCATTTAGTATCCTCATGTGTAAGAAAGAGAAAGCAGCAGTGTTGTTACACCTCTTTGTTGTGAGCTCCAGTGCCCATCAGACAGACAGACAGTTGTACAGGAAACACAGTGTCTGCTGAGTGTCGTGGCTCAGATGGGAGGAATCATGTCAAGGGAGACGACTCCTCCCTGAGCCGCACACGTGGACTAGAATGTATTTCTGGACGTTTAAAGAAGCACCCTTTGGTGCTCTTCAAAAGGCACAGAAGGGATAAAGCTTATCAAGTCTGCTGAGAACTCTCGGAGGACAGAGGGAGAGAGGGGACCAATAACAAGGATCCAAGTCCGGACCGCTTTTCTTACACAAACAGACAGAGTTCTTCCATCTTCCCTCCTCGCTCAACCCTGCAGTGATTTCACCCGAGCACCTTGGAGGACAGGCACACAAACTTACTGTGGGAACCGCGGAGGGAGTGTACGACCAACGAGAATTACGCGCGTTGCTGAAGGCAGTTTAGGAAAGGCCTGATTGTTTAGGCGCTGATTTTCTGGGTGAGACGCGTTAAAAGCTCCCTGCAGAGAGGAAAGGCACGAACAACGGTTCAGCTCCTTTTTCTCTATTATTGGCAATGACAGGACCATTTTGATTCTTGGAATGTAAGAAGCATGTCACTCTACATAATGCCCCCAGAGGCCCTGAGTGGCACTAGGTACATGATCTTGGAGTCGAGGGTAGGCAGATAAGCTTCAGCAGGGAGGCCTGGGTGTCTTCAGCCCTGGCATTTGTATGCAGGCTGGCTCGGTCCCCACCCTGGCCCAGGCTCCCTGGCAGGACAGCTCAGTCCCTGGAGCTGCCCTCGGCCTGGGGCGACCCGAGGAGATCGCAAAAGGTGATGAAACGTTTTTTCTTGCAACTGGATGGTGGAAGGAAATTGAGAAGACTTGTATAGCGGGCACTTTTGTCTAGAGCCTGCTTATCCCATGGAGGAAAAGTTTTGAGTACATACAGAAAAAAAATTATTAATATATTTTAATGTATTATTATTGTATCATTACTTGCTGAATTTTATAATCCCATGTTTTAAAAACGATGACTCCTTGTTTTCATATTTGTAAATAATTTAGATAATTAAAGTGGAGTGTTTAAAGCAACGTTTAGATTAGAGTTTCACTTTATTTCAGTGAATGTCATGCTTTCATTCCTCTAGCAAGTGCCCTGGGTCAGAGGCAGTAGTCGCTCCCGTGTGCTGACAGTGTTCTGAGTTCGGTGTTGATGAGCAGGCGCGAGCCTGCGTGTGGTGAAGGGTTACGGTCGGAGCTTAATCCTTGGTAGAGACCGTTGCTTGGACAGGCAGTGCAGTTGAATATTTTCCTCGGATGCCTGGATCTTTAAAGGGGAGAAGGCGGTGGGATTAAAGCAACAGAGATAGAAGAAAGTGAAGGCCAGTTTATTTTAACACCCAGACACGTGGAGACCATTTCAACTGGGGGAATAGCCTCAAACAGGCCTCTCCCCGGACACGAGTCATGGCAGCCTATCGGACAGCGGCCGTGTGGCGGGGCCATCCATCCTTTTGGGTTCAGTTGCTCCCTGACATCGACGTGGGCTCACGTGAGGGTCCTTTTAAGGACCAGATGCCACAGCGGCCTTGAGAGAGGAAAGTTCCTGCCTCCTGCCCTCCCCAGCACGCAGCCAGCCTGTCCTCCCTGCGGATGGGGAAGGGGAGCCCCACTCAGACGACTGAAATGCGAGAGCTGGCGTGTACAGGCCTGGCCTGGACGGCCAGACTGCAGAGTCCAGCCATCCTCAGGCCCTCCCCCCAGAGCGTACTGGCCTTATCCTTGCCCCCTCCCTCTCCTCGCCTTTGGGAGGGCGGTGGGCTCTCCTGCACACCCTCCCTGGACCCCAAGTGTTCCACCAGCAGCAATCACCCAGGCCTTGCTGGTAACCCCCAGCGCAGTCTGCAGGGGCGCCCAGGCGTAGAGGGTGCCAGGCACCCCCATGGCGGGTGTAGCGCAGGACCCAGTGCACCCAGTTTTCCAGTCAGTACCGGGTTTCACGGCTGCCCCCGCCCCCCCAGGAGCAGCGCAGTCACAACCCTTTGCCAGGTGCACGTCCCCAGGCAGAACAGAAGGCACGTTGGTCGGATCAGAGAGCGCGCGAGCGGGGTGACGGCCGCCCTTACGGAGCCCGCCCGCGCCCACCTGCAGCAGCCTGAACGGTGCGTGCGTGTGCCGAGTCTTCAGGACAGAGATCCGCACACCTACCACCCGTGTGTTACTCACCAACATCGATATATCGAATGATCCAGGCCTCATTAAGTTCAAAGGTTATCTGCTCGATTAGAAGTTTGCGCCAGGGTTAGCACGTGGGGAAGGAGGAGCGAAGGAAGATCATAAAGGGTTGGGGACTTTATTGGGACATGCTCCTCCCTTCCTCAATGAAACCCTTGATGAAAGAAAGCACTTGGCAGGGCCGTGGCAATACTCTAAGCGGCTCGCTCTCTCCGCACAACACTGAGGAACAAGTCAGACTGAGACAAAGAACCAGGATTTGAGTAGGAAGTCAGAGCATGAAGTCCAAGAAACGCTGGGGCCTGGGGACTGCAGTAGTGAGCCCGCGCACCGCTCCACCGCCCACCCCGCACTGAGAAGAGCGTGTCTGAGCCGCCCCTGTAAGAAACTGCTTCTCCGCAGGCAGGGCTGTAGGAATCCGCCCGGAGCCGCTCTGCGGCAGCGCGAGGAGCCCCGGGCGACTCACTGTCCCTGTGTTGTGTCCCAAGGAAGGGAGGTGCTGCAGCGGCCTGGCAGGCGGTGACACGCGGTGATACGTGGTGACACGTGGAGAGCTGGCGGGTCCCAGGCGTCCCAGTGGTATTTCGGATGGGCCGAACCTCTGGCTTTGGCACTTTTGAAACTAGTTGATCTTCCTTGGGCCTCTAAAGCTATCTCTTACTTCCGGGGAACAATGACTTCTGAATTTTAGCAGCCTTTTCTTATCCCCCAAACCCACTTGCCTAAGATGGGTTTTGCTTCTGCTGATGCAACTGTGTCTCTAAAATGTCCATTGTATGTTCCCCGTTGCAACAGAAGATCCAATGTGATGGGGTGGGTGGGGTGTGAACAGTGTGTTCCCTTGATACATGTCTGATACATGTGTTTAAATGGGGCACGCTTCTAATTTCAAATCCGGCCTTGCTTTCGTTTGATTTTTTTTTTTTTAATGTTAACCTGTCTTCCAACCCTTTTGTCTTAATTACTTCTATTTATCACCTTTTCCTTTCCTCCCACCTAAATAACCCCTTGCGTTATTTGCGATGCTTTTCCCAGGTGTTTTGTTGCTTTTCTTTCTAGACCTCATGGCGGCCAGAGAATCGTGATTGTTTGGTTGCCTTTTTTTCATAGCTCATTCCGTTTTTTTATTTGCTTGCAGCACTTTCTCAGTTATCCAAGTTCCTCAACCATTCCATTAGTTGAGAAACAAAGATTTCATAAAGGCTATTTTTCTGTGTCCCTCACCCCAACCTTTGCCTGGAGCTCCTTGTGGTTGCGACTTTGCTTGGGTGGCTGCGGCGCTGGCTGCCACACCAGAGGCCACGGGAGCGCCCCTTGACACAGAGAGACGGGTCGGACCGGAGTCGTCGGGACAAACCAGGCTTGCGTTGCCACCGTTTTTGTGCTCTGGCTTTGTCCTGCCTCCCTTCAACTTGTGTGTTCCCACCATGTTTTGTTTGTTTCCTCTGGTTTCTGGTTGGTGGTTTTTCTTTTTCTTCTCCTGAAACACAGTCACCTTGTGTGTGTAGGTCTGGATCCACAGTCTCTTCTGTTGTGTCTCCCTTTTCCTTTTTGTCAAATCCAAGAGAAAACTTGCCATAAAGAGCTGGAAGATTCTCGAGCACAGCCTTTTGAATCTTCAGAGCACTCATGGCCCCTGACACCCTGATCAGTTTTCTCCCAGGAGGTCTCTGGGGGGCTGAGCTGCTGCAGGGGGTGGGCTGGGAGGGCCGGGGGTACCCCAGTACTTCATCATGCATGCTATTTGGAGCAGCATCTTTTTTTTTCCTTTTTTAGTTTTTCTTTTGTTTTTGTTTTTGTTTTTTAATGTTTGAGTTATGAATGAGGATGACCCCTACAATCATGATGTCTCCCATACACCTTCCTGCTGACCACTCACCAGCTTTCTGATGCTCAGTCCTAACGCTTCTGTGATTTCCTTTGCTCCGACTCATAGCCTCCAGCTGCCTTAACGATAACCCTGTAGACCTTTAAAGGGAAACTACATTGAGAATAACTTGTTGCTGTCTCATTTGCATTAGAAATGAGGCATCCTAGAGATGGCAAGAAACGCACCCAGGGGGCTGGCTGCTGCTGCTGCACTGCTGTGTGCGCGCCCCGCAGAGAGCCCCGAGTCCTGGGTCTCAGCCACGGTGTTGCTAAGGCAGCTGAGCTCCCATGTCCCTCCTGCCTACCACAGATAGACAGTAGTGGAACCAGCCTCCCCCAGCCCCTTTTTGTATAAACAGAAAAGGGAGCCGTGTGAGCCTTGCCCTGTTTCCAGGTGGCAAGCGCCTCTCCCCGCCCCGCGCCCATCCCTTCCCTTTGGCAGAGTTCGGCACCCATTGGCCGGTGAAAAGAAATGTAAAGCAACAAAGACAGAAGGCTCCTTTATTCCGACCCCTGAAAAGGGAAACCAAATTGACCACATGGGCCCTTTAGCCCCTTGAACTGGATCCACTACTGACCAAAGAACGCCGATGGGCAGCCCTGTCTGGACTGGGCTGGAAGCTGGAATCCGATGCTCTGCACACCAGGGCTCAGAAGTGTGGTTATTTTTGAGGAACCACCTTCGATCCAGAACATTTGCGTTTCACCTTCCTGGCCCAGATCCAATTGACAAGGTAGCTCATCGCTTCTTGCATCTGTTGAGGGCCATGCTGGATTTTTTTTTTCCTTTTTCTTTTCTCATGGGTGTCCTTGGATGCAAGAAATATGTTTTGTCCCCTCCCCCTCCTCCAATTTAGCACACCACCCTGGGAAGTGCATGTCACAGACCAACTCCACCTTCACCTTCACCACCTGTCGCATCCTGCATCCTTCGGACGAGCTCACGCGGGTCACGCCAAGGTAAGGGACCCCGGCCCTGGGGGTGGGCGGGAGCAGGGGTGGGATGAGGTGAGGGCTCTCCCTGTGAGACGTAATGTTGAGGAAAGCCCAGGTAGACAGGTTCATTCAACAGCATCTGGCCAGCTGAAACATCTCGTAAGCACTTGCAGGTTCCTGTTCTGGGTCCCTTATTTCCTTTTGAACCAAGGTCCTTATTAATTCAGATTATGAAGATGGAGAACCCTGGCCCACCTTCAGTTGCCCTATTAGTTGGTCATGGAAGTCTCAGGACAGCGGAAGCTGACACTCCACAGGCCCTAAGGCGAAGTCTGTTAGCGCTTTGCCCTGAAGTTTGCCAGTAGAGCATGGAGTTCCTCTACAGGCGGCCGTTCCTGCCCCGTGGGGGCCCCTGTGCCCCTGGAATAGACCGCGGGAACCGTGCACCACAGCCGCACAGGTCCGAGGGCCAGACCACACGCCCAGTGCGGTCCATTCCCCTCTGGTGCCTCCCAGGAGCAGTAGAGGTTGGCACCGTCGGGTGAAAGGACTTCTATGGCATTGGGTGGCCTATGTGGCCGGATTTCAGGCCTTCCACAGCTTCTAGTGAAAGGGAGTGACCATCCCACCCCCAGCCATTTTCTCTGTGGTGAAAGATGCCGGGGGACCGAAGGTCAAGCCGAGAGGGAGGGAGGCGAGCAGGGCCAGTGTGGAGGAACAGCGCCCCGAGGAGCACCTTAAACTCTGAATAACTCTCCGCAGGTCATGTGAGGAGGACGGCGAAGCAGCCCCATGCCCTGTTGAGCTGAGAGGAGATGTAGGGCAGACAGTGAGCCCGCAGGCGAGGCAGGGGGTGAGCACACGCCAGCAGTGCCTGCCCCCGCAGGGCCACGCGGAGGGGGCTGTGTGTGCACGCGTGGCCGCCACTAACCCAGGACGGAGGCGTGGATGTGTCTCTGTGGTTGTGCCTGGCTAACTCGGCCTTGACAGTGGATACCCCTAACCCGTCTAAACGCCCTGGTCGAGCCGAGCACCAGCACTAATACAGGCCTAACCGAAGTTCTCACCGGAAGGGGATTTCCAAGTTTTAGCGTGTCTTTATCTCCCTTCCTGCCTCTGGAGAACCTGGCTTTCCCCGTCCTGGTAGGAAGAGCTCAGGTTTAAAACTGTGGGACAGGCTGTCCCTGGGGGAGAGGCAGGCGCCCTGGCGCTCTTCCGACTAGAGCCCTAGGACTCATACCTGCACGCCCATCCGCGTCCGCAGGGCCGTGCCAGGGACAGGAGAGCCTGGGCCGTCCCCAGCAAGAGAAGGCTTTTTGCCTGCATTTCAAAGAATGGCAGCTCAGAACAAAATGGAAACTCTCCCTAGGAATGGCCCGGGGAACGAGATTTTTTAAGGCCAGAACTCTGTTGCCCTCCATGGCTCGTAGATCAGCATTTTATAGAATTCCACCTATACCATTTGGAGAGTCCACCTCTGCACCTTGGGAATCCGCTGTGGTTTCTAATCTCATGTTTTTCCGAGTGCCCCCGACCACCAGCACCTGAACAGTGTGTGCGGGATGGGCCTGTTTGTTCTCTGTGCCTCGCTGATCTTGTGCTGACCGGCCAGCGGCAGGGTCACTTGAGTGTGGAGCCAGATGATGTCAGCTTGGACTTGCTTGTGAACTGTGCCTCCCGCAGGAGGCCCTGCTCTGGTTGTCCCAGGAACCTGTCCCCTGCCTCCCCTGTCCTTACCTTGATGCTTTGCCCGAGGAATCTAGTCTTTCCCCCATCAGGCGGAGGAGAGAGGGCCCTGTCGCCCAGCTCCTGGGGACTGCCCAGCTGGCCGCCCAGGGGGACACGCAGCCACAGGCACATCCTTGGGCGGCACTGAGGCAGGCCTCGAGAGTGTGTCGCAGGGTTTGCTGCCTGGTCCTCAGCCGCTCACGCGGCGGCCGTGCAGGACTTCTGCTGTGCAGCCTCACCTCTCCCGTGGCCGCTGTCACAAGAGGTTCCCTCCCGTCCTCTGAGAAGACAGCAAGGCATTTCCCCCGCTGGTTCTCACCCACTTTTCTGTCCTGATTCCCTATCCCAGCTTCTGGAACGTAGCGGGTCCTCAGCCAGCATGACGCAAGTAGACGTAGGAATCTGCTTTCCTTTAGTCCCAGGCTGCAGACTCCCACTGGGCCTCCTCCCCTGTAGCTCCGTAGACGGAGGGCTGATAACGCAGTGCGGCTTCCTCTGACCCGTCACTTCACTTGTCATGTGCGGATTCCTGCGACAGCAGGAGGCACTGAGTGCCGCCCCCTGCAGAGGAGACAGCTCTGAACTGGGAGTCGGGGCTGGGGTCTGCCTCTGACTTGATGTGCGGCTTCAGCCTCTGACTCCCCGTCACCCAAGGGCCCCCACCTGGATGTCCTGCCTGCTGTGGCCATTCCCAGATAAACTCATATCCCATAGTTTTGGGTAACTTCTGACCTCAGGGAAGTAGGTGGTGGGAAGGAGCTCTGGAGCTTGGGTAAATTTGGCGGGGAAAGAGAGCCACTTTGTCAAAGGGCTTCCTCCTCTATTTGGTGGGGGGGGGTTCACTACACTTGGGTTCAAATCCAGGGTCTTCTACTTCATAGCTGAGTGTGACATTGAGTCAGTCACCTAACCTCAGAACCTGTTTCCTCACCTGCAAAGGGGACAGTTCAACACACCCTGTGGGAACTGAGAGATGGGAATTGTGGGCAGCTTCCTGTGAACTGAAACCGTGCCCCACCTAAGGGAATGCACATGCCCAGGGATGAGAGGGAGGCACAGCCCTAGGAAGAGGCATGCAGGGAACCTGGGCTGGGAGCGTCCTCTCATTGTGTCCCTGGCCTGCCCTGCACCCCGGCAGGAAACTGGCCACTGACCCTCTGTCCGGTGCCTCTGGGCATTTTCTGATGAATGACCTCTCGTCTTTCCTTTTCAGCCTTAACTCGGCCCCAACTCCAGCTTGTGGCAGCGCCAGCCACTTGAAGTCCACACCCGTGGCCACGCCGTGCACTCCCCGGAGACTGAGCCTGGCCGAGTCCTTCACCAACATCCGCGAGTCCACAACCACCATGAGCACGTCCCTGGGGCTCGTGTGGCTGCTGAAGGAACGGGGCATCTCCGCGGCCGTGTATGACCCCCAGAGCTGGGACAGGGCCGGCCGGGGCTCCCTCCTGCACTCCCACACCCCCAGGATGGCCGTGATCCCCTCCACCCCGCCCAACTCGCCCATGCAGACGCCCACGTCTTCCCCGCCCTCCTTTGAGTTCAAGTGCACGAGCCCTCCCTATGACAACTTCCTGGCTTCCAAGCCGGCCAGCTCCATCCTGAGGGAGGTGAGGGAGAAGAAGAGCGTCCGCAGCAGTGAGAGTCAGACAGACGTGTCTGTCTCCAACCTCAACCTCGTGGACAAAGTCAGGAGGTTTGGCGTGGCCAAAGTGGTGAACTCAGGGCGAGCCCACGTCCCCACCTTGACTGAGGACCAGGGACCTCTCCTCTGCGGGCCCCCCGGCCCAACACAGGCCCTTGTCCCTGGCGGTCTGGGACCCGAGGGTCTGCCGCTCGGATGCCCCACTGTCACGAGTGCCATTGGCGGGCTACAGCTCAACAGTGGCATCCGACGGAATCGCAGCTTCCCCACCATGGTGGGCTCCAGCATGCAGATGAAGGCCCCTGTGACTCTCACCTCGGGCATCTTGATGGGTGCTAAGCTCCCCAAACAAACTAGCCTGCGGTGAGGGTGGGAGGGGGGCCCTTCCTCGGAGGAGACCAATCTTGCCCTGCCTCCCTCACTTCCCCCTGCACTGCATTCTCTCCCTCTTCCCTCCTCGACCATCCCCTCCCAGCTAGACAAATCAACCTCGTGCCTAAGGGGGGGAGAGTGGAGACTTTGTAAAGTGTGTACATAGGACTTGGAGGCCTGTATCTGACCTGCCCTTTCTTCAGATCCCACGGGAAATGCCCAGCATGGTCCTTGCTCTCATGAGGACTTCACCTGTGCTCACCTGGGGGCAGGGCAGGCAGGTGTCCTTTTCTCCCTCTGTCCTTTGAGAGGCACTGAAACTCCCCAGGGCATTCTTATCCCATGGATAGGAAACCAGGGGGATCGTGGCTGGCAGCCAGGGTGCACATCGTGGGCTGTAGCGCGGCCCGGGGCACAACCCCCCTCCCCTGCCCGTATCACTGGGTTCCTTGCCTCGCCCGCACTGTAAGAGCGTAAGGGACCTCTGTCCACAGCCTCGTGCAGCTGCCGTAGCTTTCAGGACTGGAGAGCTGCTCTTTCTTACGGGTGGTCCAGCTTCTTCAAGACCTTCCTTACTCTGCCTCAGTGGATGGTCGCTTCTTCCTGAAGTGTGACTTCTTTCTTTGCCTTCAACCTGAGGTCATCCTGCAGTGTTTTGCAATCAGCTGTCAGCCCAGACACCTGACCTGAAAGAACGTGTTTACACTCCCGCTGAACTGTCCCGCAGCCCCTGTGGGCTGTGTGTGCCCTGTTTTATTTTTCTATGTTTTATAGGCAGGGCAGTAATCGTACTAGATGGGAAGTCACAGCGTATGTTCTCTCTGTGGTTCTGACACCAAAATACAAGCAGCAAACACAACCGAGCCGCTAAGGAGATAGCAGTTTATTTCTGGGGCCCAGTGGCACAGCCAAGTTGAGTAAGACCAGACCCAAGATAACTTCAACGACAGCATTAAGAGGAAGGGGGACAGGGGAAAAGGTTGAGAATGAAATGTCTTAACAGTCAAAGGAAAAAAAACCACAGCCCAACGTAACAACGCCCAACTGGTTCACGGGAGAAACGAGGCTTTGGCCTTCCGCTGGGTCCGGTCCTGACTCCAGACCCCGAGTCTGGTCCACACGCTTTCTCTTCCGTGGTCTCTCGTGGCAGCCATGCAAAGCCCCCACGTTTTGCCCTCTAGTTTTAGAACAGAGCAGTCACACAAGCTATTTCCTTCCCCTCAAAGCCTCCCAGGGCCACTTTTTATCCTTAGGGAAAGAGAGAGGCGCTCGTGAGACGAACACAGATGAGCAAGGGGGCCCAGCCCGGTTGCTGTTGTCGAACTCAGTTTTGAACTTTTATTTATTATTTATGTGTGCTGTACTTCGAACAAACATCCTCTCTCCAGCTCCAGCCACAGCGTGTCTGTGGCATTCCAGCCTCAGCGGATCATTTATTTATTCTAACCCGAAGACTGCATTGGACATCGCAGCGTTCTGTGGCCGCTTGCTCCCAGCATCGATGGAAGGGTACCATCCCGTGCACATGAAATCGCCGTTTGGCGTCCCCCATTCCCCGCCCCCCGGGCCAAGGACGTGTCCTTCAATGGAGGGAGTATGACCTTATGTCTACCGAAGACACTTTAAGGAAGTCCCTGGGAGGGAGCCTCACTCCCACTACTTCAGACGATTTATTCTGTGAACACGAGGGTGTTGGTCCATTATGTTTTCAACACTCCTTGTGGTTGCCAGTGTGCACTCGCTGCAAGGAGCGTGTAACTTTTTATTTGAATGTATTTTAAAGCAGTAGGTAGCTTAACAAAGAAACATGGAAACCATGGATTGAATGGACCACTTGTGTTCAGAGAGGAGCCTCCCATCATCACAAAGGAAATACCAGTGTACAAATCAGCAATTCGGAGATTGCAGTATTTAGCATAGTAAATAAATGATCAACATCGGGCAACCACTATCAAAAAGTGTGTTGTAATGCATCAAAAATCAACAATAAAAATTTTATTTGCTAATGAATATCAATAAAATAAGTTCAAATGATGGAAACCACATTGGCATTCTGCGTGCATTTTTAAAATCTTTTTCATTGATAATAACCTTATATTAGACTTCAAAGTATTCAGCTCTTTGGGGGAAATTAAAAAAAAAAAAAAGCCATGTCATTTTTTTACATACTGTTTTATCTACCCTTTTAAACATAATACAAGATCAGAGCCACCTTCCCAATCAGAACCCTGAGCTCTTCCCTGCTTTTCAGCGCTGCATGTTATTCCACCGTGTGCATGCACTCGCTATGACCAGTGTGGACCAGTATCCATCCCATAGCCAAGCATTGAGTTAATTCTGATCTTTGGCTATCACCGCACAGTGATGAAAAAACCTTGCATATGTGTAGCTTTCCACATATGTGAGCACGTCTGTGTGAATAATTCCTCGACAGATACTACCAGCTTGGCCTCTGTAGCATTAAGAGACTTTTAAAAACCAAACACAGTGGAGGATCACCAAACAGAGAATTGTGAGAAAGGGATAAAATAAAACTTCTGCCACGTTAATATTTTGAAGCGGTGAAATCGCGCAAGCAAACAGTGGGTGGTCACAGCATGGATTTTAGAGCAGGTGTTACCATTTAATAGTGATGGGACCTTGGGCAAGCCGCTTCTTTGAGTCCTCCAATTTTTAAGCTGTAAAATGGGCACAGTAATATGGAGGGCTAATTAGTTGAGTAAATAGACTTGGACCATCTGCAATGTGCCAGGGGATCTGATGACACGCGTGAGAGACTTCTCTCGTGGAGCGTACAGTTCATAGCAGCAATGACACCAAACGTGGAAACATGGCACAATGAGCTACGCAGAAAAAATAGGGTTGTATGAGGGACTGGGTGGCCAGTTTGGGCAGTCAGGGAAGGCCTCTCCAAGGAGATGGCATTTGGGTCAACCACGTGAGATGTGGCGCAAGAGCAATGGGGCAGAGCGCGGCTGGCGCCAATGCGCAAAAGTAGGAAAGCGCTTGGTGCATCTGAGGAGCAGAGAGGAGGCCCTGTGGCTGGGCGCTGGCAGAGATTAGTTCCGGCCAGGGGGCCGTGCGCAGAGCGGGATCCACGCTCCTCTCCTCCCCCGCAGCCATGTGTTCAAATGGGGGTGTCACAAGCTGGCGGAGCCTCCATCATCCTGGGTCTCCGAGGAAGTGCGTGGACCAGGCTCCCTGCCAACCCGCATTTGAAATGGCGATGTGAAGGAGAAACAAACAGTTGCTGTGAAGCTCATGATAGTCCCGGGTGGAGAAGCCCCGGGGGGCAGCCCAGGTGTGCGTGTTTTAGCAAGTCCCTTGGCTCACCCTGGTGGGAACCACAGTGCCAGGCCAGGCAGAGCACAGGGGGCAGCCTGCCATGGAGGGTGGGCTCCTCTCCCTGTTTCAGGGGCTCAGAAGGGCAGACAGCTGCAGCCCGCCTGGCTTGAAGGGGAGAGAGAGCGGGTGGATTTATCTGCCCAGCTGGGAGTAGGGGGGGTGGACCAAGGCTTTGAAGCAAGGTGACCCTGGGTCTGGGTTCAAGGACGGGCAGAATTTGCCAAGTGGGACCAAGCAGAGGGAAAGAGTATGGAGGAGGAATGGTAAAGAGAACCTAGAATGCACTCCTAAGCTCGTCCTTAGAGTAGAATGGTAAGTGACAAATAATAGAAGGGACAATAGAGTTAGAAAACGGACCATTCTGCAACCCTGAAACTAACTTATTTTGACCATAGATGCCAAATCCACTGGGTGAGAATTTGTTAGGTAGCAGGACATTTGCACGTGGGTCTTCCCAGAGGATGTGTGTGAATTTTCAAAGGTCGGGGGAGGTAACTTCCCATTGGAGAAACCTGCCGTGTACCACCTGTAACATGACCCCAGTGGGGCAAGCTGATGCCAGGTGCCTCCTCCTGTGGGAGCCACTGAGAAGGACATCGCCTCTGTGCTGCTCTGCCAGCAATGCAAAACCTGAATCCTGAGGTTGACAAATTGACAAACCCAAACTGAGGGGACATTTTATAAAACAATGCACCCGTTCGCTTTCCATGCCAATGTTATGAAGGACCAAGAACAGTTCTAGAATAAAGGCAGACAGATAATGCAATTCACGATCCTTAATTTGGCGAAGATGCTATTAAAGGCCAGTAGGGGAGGGCAATCACAAAAATTTGAATGTTGAGGTTATTTTAAAATACATTACTTTTAAGTTGCCAGAATGCGGTTGTTGTACTGTGGCTATGTAAGAGCCTGTTCTATTTCCTAGGAGATGCCAGCGAAAGGATTAAGGTAAAGGAACGTGACATCAGACTGTAAGTCACTTTCAGATGTTTCTGGAACAAAGCAAGTAAGAACTTTTTTTTAAAAGGAAGATTGTGTGAAAAGAAACCTTCAGAATGTGGGAGCACCCTAATGCTGTACATTTGGTAAACTATAAAAGGCAATGCATCCATTTGCCCCATGGCCAAGGCAGGAGAATGCTTGAAGTGATTTGGTTTCTCCTCCCTGCCGGTTACTGAAGTTCTTCATTTATACCCAAGCCCTGCCCTTCCCCGCGGGGCTCCACCAGAGGGCGCCAGAGACCGAGGGGAAGTTGTCAAAGAGGCTGTTGGTGGGACCAGGAAGCAAGGGCGTCAAATTCTTGGGTTTTAATTTTGATGAAAGAAAAAGCTGAGTATATGTTTCTCTATTAGACCAAAAACTAGACTTTGGGTGGTGAGCCCGTAATAAACTAAACATATATCAAGTTATAATGTACACCTGAAATTTATATAATGTTATTGCTAACCAGCATTACCTCAATAAATTTAAAAATTTTTTACCCTAAAAATATAAAATGGGGATGAAACCTACCAAACCCACGTGTTTTCCTTTGTATTGATTGCTCCCTCTCTGGCCTGTCCGGCCCGAAGAGCTTCTCCAAGCTGACAGGTGAAGGAGGGAGTTGGAGGGGGTTCTTACTCACCCCTGGTATAGGAACCTTCACCTTCCCTGTCCCTGGGCTGAATGCAGGGTCTTGGAAGAAGCTGCAGGTGGGTCTGGGGATCCAAGGACAAATGACCTAGTTTCACATGGCGGGGAGGGGCTGGCGGAGAAAGCAGAGATGTTCCAGAACTCCATGCTAGCACCTAACCCCCAAAACAGGGCAGAGAGAGTAAAAATGGCGACGAGTGTCCAGCCCCAGACAGATGCGGGACTCACTTCCAGACGTTGCTTAGGAGCAGAGGACACAGGTGTGCCCTGGGGCCTTTCTAACACGACAGAGAAAGTGGACACGTGCCTTCCCCACTGCTCGCATGAGTGCGGGCACCTGGGAAGACGTTGGCAGGAATGGAAGGTTATTCTGAATTATCTTAATTGCCTGGGAGCTCATCATAGGGATTAAGTTGAGATTTAGAAAAATAAAAAATGGATTTTTTGCACATTTGGGCTCATGGCTAGGAAGTATCGTGTCCCGGGAGGATACATTTTCTGTAGCCAGTAGAGGGCACTTGCAGGCAGCGGAAAACCTGAAGGAACCCGCCCTGAGGATCCAAGCCTAAAATCAGTGAGGCTGGCTTTTCCCTGGAAAGCAGTTCCGGCAGGCGGCCGTGCCTCACCGAGACATTGAGGGCCGTCGCTAGCATGGACCAAGTCCACCAGGTGAACTTGATGAAGGCTTTCCAGGCCAGGCGGCAGCACTGGCTTGGGGTGTCAATGAAGAAACTGAGCATAAAGCGAAGAGGAGACAACGGAAAGCAAAACGTAGTTTACAAGACAGATTCTTTACTAAGGTGTTCCCATCTTTGCAAATCAATCCACATCCCTTTGAATGCTTCTTCCTTGCAAAAATAATTTTTACTCTTTGCTTTTTCTAGAGACATGTGAAGGTGAGTTATCAGGCCACTTTACTCACACACTGGGGCTGCCTGTCCCGAGCTCCGCGTGGCCAGGGCACACCGCCGGAGTCCAGGCGTGGAGGAGGTTTCTGCTCAGCGGCACTCAGCCACTCACCCTGCCGAATGCCCAAGGCTTAGACCCGCCCTGCTCTAAGTCCCAAAAGAACTTAAAACCAGGGAGGGGAAGGGGGTCCTTTAGCTTAGACCCCTGGCCCAGAGGCTCAGCAGGGCCTGGGAGCAAGACAGGACCCTGGGGCCCCCGAGAGCAGGAGGGACAGAATTCAGAAGGGTCTGCGAGGGCCGGGTGGCTGCAGCACTGGCGGATGGTTGGCTCAGGTGATTCACAAGTGCCAGGCCGAAGTTCAGGGATATCTTTTCAGAGGAGAAAACACAGAGACGTGCATCCTCCTAAACCCTTAGTCCTGCCTGGGCCCCCTTTTGGTCACCTGTGAAAATATAGCAGTGGCAACACGCAGCCCCCAACTCTCCTGGTTGCCTGGCTTCCAGCCGGCAGTGGCCTCTGCCATCCTTGAGCCACTCGCCTGTGAATGGAGAAGCAATGGCATTGTGCACTCAGCTGTTCCCAATAGTGGGCTTGAATTCAGCAGAAGCTATGGAAGTGACTCAGCAAAGAAATGAGCTGCCTGACTCAGGAGCTGGTGGGAAGGTACCTCCGCCCCCGTGAGGTGATACCCAGGCTCTGGGCCCCCTCTGAGGCTGCCCTGGCAAGACTGGAGTCCTGACCAGCATGACTACACAGGCTCAGAAAGGGCGGCTTAGCCGCTGCCAACAGCCAAGCAAGCCCCCGCAGCTTTGCAGACCAGTCGAGGGGCGTGTCTCAGTTTTCAGTGGAGGAAGGGAGGGTTGGTTTGTTTTAAATCAATCTGTCATGAGCCAATATTTTTATAAAATACAGTAGCTATGAATTACAGGAAAAAATGAAATTAAAAGAAATACAAAAATCATGGGGCTGGGGACAAGAAGCGTAATGAATACTCATCTCCACCAGCAGAGGTGGCTTCCTCAGGGAGCCAAAGAGGCAAAAATGGTAGATACTGTGGGTGGCTACACAAGTGGCAAGCTTTAGTGATCATCAAAATCATTTGGGGAGAAGAGTGAAAAATTTGGAGATAAGGAAGAAAAATACCTGTGACCTTTGGACCCTAATATGACCACCTTGAAAAATAAATAAACGTAATGTAACCAGAGGACCTTTATACTTGACGTGGGTCGTAGTCCTTTTCTGCATTCCTACACCGTCCTCGTGCTCATTAAATAACTGCTCAGCAGTTGACCAACTAGAGGTCCACTCATCTCTTTAGCAGCCTCCTCACTGTGAAGCAGTGAGATTGTTTCCAAATCTTTGATCTTCTGAGTAAATGCAACAAAACCACCAACACTCTTCCCTTCTTTGAGATCACTCTATTTCTGGATTTTAACTGTAGAAAAAGGGGGGCTGGCTGTGTATGGGGAGGTATTTTAAAGTATACTGTCACTCTCCACGGATGGTATGCATGCTGTTAGCCGTGCGCGTGCGCGTTTGCGCGCGCGTGTACGTGTGCACGCATACACGTGCATGGCCTCTTCTCCAATTGCTCACCCTTAAGTCCATCTTGCAAAGACATGGAAGTGTCACTGAGCCTGCTTTACCTCTCTGCTTCTCCAAACAAATGGTTTAATTAAACTGCTTCTAAAACCAGTCTGTAACCTAATAGCAGGGAATCCAGGAATATTTTCCCGTTCCTAATTGATTAATTAATTAAACAAATAATTCTTTAGTACTATGTAGGAGTTGAGTGCTGCAGTAGGGGTTGGGAATATAGCAATAAACAAAGCAGACAAAAATCCACGCCCAGCAGAGCCGACATCCTAGTGGGTGAGACAGAACCGATAATCAATAGCTAAACCGTGTCATTCTAAGTGATGACAAGCATGAGAAGAAAAGCAAAGCAAGGAAAAGGGTAGAGAGCAGTGGAGGAGCTTCTTTAGACAGGATGATTAGAACGGAGCAGGTAATGTTGGGGCGGAATGAACTGAGAGGTCCAGTCGTGCTTCTTGGAGGGAGAGGAAGCCAGGCAGAGAGAATAGCAGGTGCAAAGGCCCTGAGGTGGGAGTGAGTTTTGTGTTTTCAAGGAAGGCGATGAGGCCGGAGTATAATGAGGGAGGGAGGAGTGGTGGTAAGAGGAAAGGTCAGGGAGCTGGGAGTGACGCTGAGCCTGTGGGGGCGGGGGTCTGCCCCGTGAGAGCCTTGGGGACAGTGGAGACGCTGGGGCAGGCGCTCCCTCATCTGCTAACCCTGGTGCTGGCTCTCCGAGAGAACACAACTCAGAGCAGGAGGCAGGCACCAGCGGATCCGTTAAATAAATCCTCTCAGAACCCAGGGCCCAGAGGAAATTAGCGAGGCAATATTTTTTTCCTCTTTTGGCTTGACTTCCAATTTAATTATCTTCAGGACCAGCAATAATTTGAAGACGCTGACCCAAAAATTCCAATACATGCTAATGCGGCTCCATCTCAAGCTGGACATCTAGCTAAGTGCTCGTGATTCTTTCCTCTTGTTTCTTCAAACCCGAGACAAGGGAGGCAGTGGTGATTTTTGTGTTGTTGTCTGTTAAAAGACTTTTTCTCCCACCCTCCTTTCCTTTTACCTGTGAACCTAAACCTGAGCACAAAGATGCCGTTGGGTACAGTAGGCCGGGGCGCATTGCATGAAGATCCCTTTGCTCTGGAGGAGAGATGTGTTACAGTCAGGGTTCGGTAAAGCAAATCTTGGGAAAGTGAATTCTGTCCACCCTCTGGCTACTGGCCATGTTGAGACTTGAGCAGTCACCGGCCGGGGCAAGCCAGGCATTTTAAACCCGAGGTTGAGAGGGATCAGCCAGGGCAGGGACCACCAGGCAACTTGTTTATGTCTCTGCCTGGCAAGGGGCTCAGTCCCGAGAGGGCTACAGGTTCCATCACTAAGTCACTGCGTGGTGAGGCAAGTTTATTATCTATAAAATGGGAATGGGGGTAGGGGAAGCATGTGTGTTGAGCTAGAAGGATAGCTGTTGGTTTGGGGCATTTTTTTTTTCAAATTATAAATTCCAGTGGATCCACAAAAAGGAACTTTAGCTCTTTTAGAAACTTAGCCGTGTAGAGCAGCCTGAGCTGGCAGAGCCAAGAGTGCAAATAGCCAGATCAGGGGGAGAAAGAGTGGCCTGCGGTGGGGGGGCGGGGGGGGGCAGGTCCTACAAGCCGGAGGGATTCACAGGGGCGGCTGGCAAAGTGGGGCATAGGGGTGTGGAGGAGGTGAGCCAGGCGAGGGGTGGGGGAGGGAAGAGAGGAGGGAGGAAAGGGAAGTCTCTGCTTTCCGCAGGCTCCGTTCAAGTTCAAGCACAGCTCGCAGTACTACTGCGGGGCTTGTTCAGCTTCCTTGCAGAAGACTGACATGACCCCCGAGAAAGGGCCCAGGACAAGCCATGGTAAACGTCCCCATTTCTGGTCCCTGTGTCAGCAAGTGGCATAGAGATCAGAGTGGGACAGCCTGAATTCAGTGGTGGCCTTGAGATTGGGTTAAGGATCAGGTCTCCGGGCTCCCTTCCGCCGCTGCCCAGTACGCTCCATCAGGTCCCCTCCAAGCCACCACACACGCGCATGCTCGCGCATGCTCGCTCATGTGGCTCTGCCTCAAGCTGCCCCTATGGGCTTTCCCCGGGCGGATGGGTGCTCCCTCCAAGTAGGGCAGGTTGTCTTTTTCTCGCACTGGCACCCTCTGCCCTCAGGAGACATGGGGACACAGGTGCGGAACGAAATCACTTTAATAGCATAGCAACACTTTAGGACCAGGGGTCACAGATGAGGGGAACGTGTGTCTTCCATTCATACAACTCTGCTGAGGTGCATGGCTGCGCCAGGCAATCTTACAGATTTTTCACATTGAGAACTTAATAAATAGACACTGAACATGTCAGACTTCAGAGACAATAAGTTATGAGTGTGATTGTGTTGTTTTTCTGCCCCTGGGGAGTCAGGAGGGTGCTTCCCGCGGTCCTGACGGGGCGGCGCCCTAGGAGGCGTACTCATACTCCTCGGCGCTGCGCCGGCCAAAGTCCATCCAGCCCATGTAGTCCCGGTCGCCTGTGTTGTATCTGGGGTCCCGGTTCTGCGTGTTCTTGATCAGGGACATTCGGCCGGAAGGAGCTGCTAGGGGCAGAGAGGAAGGAAACACGGCCAGTTATAACTAGAACATCACTAGTTTGGTTTGTAAAGGAGAGCAATGAAACGAGCCAGGCAGTGTGCACGGTACACCTTCTTTAAGGCATCACGGAGCTACCAAGACAGTGAGATCGCTGGCCCGGAATCCAGGAGAAGAGAAGGGCCCACGTCTGTGTAACTGGACTGAGGGCAGGATTTGCTCGTTGTCCATCTGGCTCTGGATCTGTAGGGATTCGGTGGATTCGTGGACCTCAGCCTTTCCCAGCCAGGACCCGCCTCAGTTTTCCCCACGAGGGGTGTTTCCCCTCTGATACGCGGCCCTCAGCAGAAGCCAACCAAGGACTTTCCAGTCCTTACCCATTTCTATCATTCACCCCTTACCGTCCCTGAGCACACCTGACTCTTGTTAAGCTAATACGATGATAATATTTTGATGTTGGAATGGTTTAAAAAGAAAAAAAAGGAATCAAGTCCTACGGTTAGATAACTACTGTTTAAAAATTATTAATTTGAAAGCTACATACTTTTAAAAAAGTGATATTAAGAAAAAGGCCCACTGTCAGATTCAAACCTCGGCACGTCAGTAACATCCAAAGGCGGGTGGGCAGAGAGGTAATAAAGAGGCAATTTAATGCAGCCATTTTCACCAAAATGCAATAACTGAAACTGAAATGGGCCCTTTGAGATGGGAGTTAAGTTCTTAGGAACAGGATGATTCTCATTGCGTCTCCGTGTAAAATGGCATTGAGTGAGCAGGGACGCAAGGAAGTGGTTTCTTCAGAAGCATGTGACACACTCCTAGCCCAGAGACCGCAGACGGTGGCCTTCTGGGTAGGAAATCAGGATAAAGCTTCTCTTGGGCAAATGAAGGGGCAAGGAAAGTCCCTCAGGGACCTCAATGGGCAAAGCCTAGGAGGCTTCATGGGGAGAGGGAGGAAGGACCACTCAGTGGTTCCCGTTGTAGGGGGCCACGGTGTCCCCACTGTTTGTCACACTGGCACAAGGCTGCCCTCGCCAGCGCCTGTCCACGGGCCACGCAGAGTCAGACTATGGCGTGTTTATCGATAAAGGGCACGGCAGAGGCGGGGACCCTGAGACAATCAGATAAAGCGAGCTGCACTAAAAACCAGCTGCAACGATCCGCAGCCACGTCCCCAGCCTTAACCCCAAACTCTTCCCACCTGGAACTAAGAATCAACCCAGCGCAGTCCAGCCCTGTGCCGATACCTCTGGCCTGTGCCAGAGAAGAGCAGCCCCTGCTGTTTCATTGCCCAGCCCTTTCAGGTGACCCATTCGTCATAATATTCAGCAAAGCTTGCAGACCCTGCTATCTGCCCGCAGTCCCACAGAACTACGTAGGACCCATCCTCCTGCTGGCGGACGACAAATGCGCCCGCCCAGGGCGGGGCGCAGCACCAAGTTCCTGCTCGCGGAAGGACTCGCCAGCTCTGCCGCAGGCCCGAGACTCCCGGGTTGGTGAGAGCGCGGTGCTCGGCCGCGGAAGCCGCATGTGTTACACATCAGTGTCCCCAGTCCGAGAGGTGCAGCCTCTAGGCTGCGCGCTCATTTAGAAGCCCAGCTGCCATGCTGACGAAATGAAGATAACAGGACTTAAAATGAAGATAGCAGGACTGTTGTGAGGATGAAGGGAGACAGGGTGACAGATGGAGCGTGGGGGCTTTGCCGGGCATGGGCAGGGGTAACCTCGTCACCCCGCCCCTCCTCCTCCCCAGGGAACTGCTTCTCCTCAAATCATTGAAAGTTCTGCAAACAATTGCTTCTGCCAAACTCTTGAGCACTGCCCAGGGAGCGCCTGATATCATATAGAATCTTTAAGCATAATATATACTACAGTTGGGTGAAAAAAAAATTGGATATGATCTCAAAATATGTCAGTCAAAGAAACCGTATAGTATTTATGTGGGTAAATCTTTATTCGCGGTTCATATTTGTCCCATAGAGGAGTATGATTGCAGCTAAGATGTGTGGTATAAAGCCACTGTTGTGTCAGTTCTAGGGAAACAGTCTGGTGACTAACTTCCCTCCCAGAAGTGTTTCTTGCAGACCTCACCTGCAGGTGGGGAGGAGGGTCCAGATGAATGAAAAGCCAAGGATATTTCAGCTTGGCCTGGCTGAAATCCAACCCACATCCAAGGACAGATATTTAAATAACTTTCAACAGACAATCACTAGGAACCTCAAAAGTCTTCGGGCTTTCTCTTCTGATTGGTAATTTCCACTTCTTTCAGTGTAGTGAGCAGGGGAGTAAAACAGACGATGGTAGTTGGGACGATTTCCCAAAGAGAGAAAGGAATATAACAAATCATCTTCTGTTCTTTCCCTCTGAAACCACCGTGCTCAGCTCCCTGGGAAACCACAGGAGGCTCCGGAGAGGTGTGCCCTGCATTCCCTCCTGGTCTAACCAAGCCCAGAGCCGCGGTGCAGATGCAGACCCTGGGCACCCGGAGGGTCAAGGGAGCCTCGTGGAAAGAAGCACACCTCCAGCCCCTCCCAGCAGCGCTGGCTGTGGTTGTGTTGTCCAGCTGTGTGGGTCCAGGGCAGCACACTGCCCCCTGAGCAGGGTGTCCGCCCACTGTGTCACTGGGGACGATGTGGACAGAAAAAACCTGCCCCAGTCCCAGCCACGACTCCGTAGGACCCTAGAGATGGACGAGTCTCCCTCCAAAAAACACCAAGAGTGGAACCCTAGCCTCCTCTGCTCTTTACAGATGAGCCAGTTGGGCCCAGGAAGGGGACAGGGCTGTCCGTAAGCCTCTCAGCTAGTGCGCTGCTGGACCACCCTATTCCTAGAGAAAGACTTCGATCCCGCTGCAGTTGGGAGCATCTCTCCAAGAGCAAACTCACAAACAGCGAGCTCCTTGGGTAATTATGTTAAATCCCTGCCAACCCCAAACTGCTATTGATTCTTTCCTCCTCTTACAGACTTTTGTGAAAACCGACACATCGTCACTTCTTTTTAAACTGTTGCAGTCAGTACACAAGCATTCTCAGCATTGATCGCTTCCTGCTGGAGGGCTCCCAAGCCTCAGTGTCCAGGCGGCTCCTGCATCTTTTGCGTTTACAGGACTATTTAGTGCATCTGTGAGCCCTTTTTGAGTCAGTAATTTGTTCAGGGATTATCTTTTAATGTCTCCATAATATGGTGTAGCACTTTAACGGCAACACCATGCCAAAATTTAGTTTACAGAAAACTTTTGAAAAGGGTTTCCCTTACTAATAAGCACATCCTCCACATTCTCTCTCAGTTTGCTACAAAGAACGTCCAGGAAACTGCACTGCCGGGTGCAGTAGAACTCAAGAGAAAAAGTAAAAAACCTTTCCGCTTAAAGTGTCACCTGTGTTTCCTCCCGAGGGTTTACCCACCTCCATCAGCCAGACGCTAGATAGTCAGGATTGGGAGCCCCGCGCAGGGGCAGAAGCGAGGGATGGGGACGCGGCATCGGTACCTTTCCGAGCAGGCTGGATGTATCTGGCCAGCAGCGCGCCCAGGTGCGCTCGGGGCTCGCCGTCCAGCCTCTGCACTGCCCGCAGCTGCCTCCGGGGCGCCTCCTCGTCCCGCCGTGTCCCAGGGCCCTCGGGCTCCGCCGGGGGCACGGGCTGCGCCAGGGCGCCAGCCGCCAGGGCCGCCATCAGCACGCACAGGCACACGCCGCTGTTCATGGCTGCGGAGAGAGAAGGGGGGCTGCTGTGAATGAAAAGGTGAGGTAGCTGTACCCTCTCGCGGAAGGTCGGGGCACCCGGCTACGGAGCAGGGGCCTCCGCCCAATCCCGCGGGGCTCCAGCCCGGCCAGGCGGGTGCAAATGCCAGGGACGGCCAAGCGCAGACCGGAGCCCGCGGGCCACAGGACGCGCGTCCGGGACGCGCCCCACTCGTATTTTGGTTGAACCACACCCCGTGCCTGGGGACGGACAGAGAGACCCTGTCTTCTGCCACGTTTAGCAGCAGGAATGTCTTCTACTTTCCTTTAATTTGATGAAGTGTTCGTAGAGCATCTCTCTCCTAACTGCCAAAGAAACAGATTAAAGACGCCGTGGAAATTTCCTAAAGGGAAGCCTGGGTGGGAGAAATGAGACCCTTGCAGAAATATAGCACCTTCCCAGATAGCTAAGACTCTTTCGATAGGGAAATAAATAATGAGGAAGGGAAGAGAAGCACCGTTTAAGATGTGGGAGCAATAAATAAATGCCGTATTTATATAGTTTCTTTGGCCGGAATTGGCCCTAAACCACCACGCAAAGCACAGGCAGGGTGGGGAGAGGGGGAGATCAGAAATAACGGGTTCAGTTCTCGGTGGCTGGCAAAGCTGCACTGCATTTTAGAGCCGGGAGCAAATCGAACACCTGTCCCCAAAGAACTGAGCTGCGATATTTAGAAGATGAACTTAATCTTAAAACCTCTCGGTAGTTTATTTGAAAAGACTGTAAAACCCACTGCACCTCTGTGTAACATCTAGCAAATCAATCTCCGCGTGCAGGCTGGTCCCAGCAAGTAGACATACCAGCGGTGCACGCATAGGAACAAAGCCGCTCACCGCGCCCCCCACCCCCACCCCCACCCCCACCCCAGCTCTCGCCGATATTTCTGACTAGGAGAAGTCTTTCGAGTTGTCGGAAAGAAGACACAGAAAACAGAAACATAAAGTGGAAGGGGCCCCGCATTCTTCAAGGACGCCGGACCCACGGGCGCCCCGCGGGAGCGCGGAGAGCAGGCACCTACCTTCGGAGCAGGACGCCGCTGGCTTCGCAGTTCTGACGGAGCAGCGGGGAGCGAGCCAAGTTCAAGGGGGCGAGCGGGAGGCTGCCTCTTAAATAGCCCCGCCCGGCGCTGCCGGCCAGTCATCTGTTTGCCCAGCGCTGACGCAGACCGGCGGCCGCACGTGCTCAGAGGGCGGCTGCAGGGGCGACAACCGACTGAAGTGGCTCCCCGAGGAGAGGGGGCGTGGCCCAGTGAGATCGGGTGCACACCCCGCGGCGGGTGTAAGGCGCCCAGCGCCCCCTCTGTCCGACCAGCGTGCGCCCCCAACTCTCTGCTCCCTCGCCCTGCCGGTCCTGCGCGGAGCTTTCCAGGGTGGGGACCTCCTCCGGGATAGAAAGGGCCCCCTTTAGTCCGCTTTGGGGACTCGAGGGGCCGGAAAGGAAACTGGGGGAGGGGCGGGCAATGGGTAGGGCTCGGTGTCAGCACAGTGTCGTCATGAAAATGGGGGTGTGCCGGCCCCTTCCTGAGCATCCCAGGCTGCCTCTGGTCTCCGGACCAGTGAGTATCCGCGGCAAGAGGTGGGAACTTCACTTTCTTCTCAGCCCCATGAAAAGCGCTCTACGGGCTCCAGGATGTCAAGAGCAAGCGTTCCCGGGTCACTGAGCCTTTGCGGCCGCACCTGGGCCTCTGTTCACGCCGCTGTAAAACAAGGGTGACCCCTTCAGGCTTTGCTCTGGGTTTGGGAAAGGGCTGGGTTTTCTTCCACGGCCAGTTACCTCCAGCCCGCGGCGCGCGCAGCTTCTGGCCGCCAAGTGGCGCCAGCGAGCGTCCCCAAGAGTCCCTTCGCGGTTCCCCGTGGGCAGCGGCGTCCACGCTACCCCCCCGCTCCCCGAGTACCCGAGCACTCACACCCCGCTCGGCCACTCCAGAACTCAGGCTGCCTGACTCGGAGATAAGACCTCACCCCTCGCCACTCGCTGTCCCGGAGCGGGCTGGGGGAGGCCCCAAGTCACCAGCGCGCCCTGCCCTGCGCTCGCGCCTCTGGCTCTGAAGCGCGGCGTCCCGGGCCAGCGAGCCCTGGGGGTTTACACCCATCTCCGCTCTTAAGGCTGCAGGCTGGCCTCGGGTTCAGCGTCCCTGCGAGCTCTCTGCCAACCTCATTTCACCGATGGCAACGCCCCGGCCTGGGACCCGAGGGTGGCCACCCATCCCGCGTTCCATCCCGGGGGCCCTCGGCTCCTTCCCCTCCTTTCCCTCAACACAGATTTGGTGGGCTTCTTCCAAAATTGGAATCTGTACTCCGCTGTGGGGTCCCTGGATGGGGGAAATAGGGGGACGCTGGCGTTGAGGGTCTTGGTCGCGGCGGCGCGAGGAGCTCGGCGAGGAGACGCCTCTGGTTACTTCCTCTCTTTCCAACCCCAGAGGGTGCTGCATTTCTGCAACCTGGAAGCACCATTTTTGCAGCTGCTTAAATGCTCTCCAGTGATTTTCCCACGAGGCTTCTAAGGTTTGTATGGTCAGTGGGGGACATTCATTTTATTTGTGACCCTGGCCAAGACATGTCTGGAAGCATAAGCCTGTTATAGAGCAGACTCACCTAAAGGGCTAGCTAGTTCGTACACCCCCAGAGTCTGATTCAGTAGGCGTGAACTGGGGCTCGGGAATCAGCATTTCTAACACGTTCCCAGCTGCTGCTGCTGCAGCTGGTCTGTCCACAACACAGGCTTCGAGAACCACCATCCAAGACCATCCCTACCCTAAGCCAGTTAATGAACGTCCCCTCCATGAATCTAAGGAACACTCATTGAACACTCGCTTTGTGTCAGGCACCGGGGGTGTAGTATATGCAGGACCGACACTGTAATGAGGGAACCCCCAGGGGACTTGGCTATATCTGGGGGGGAGATGATCCCAGAGAAATGTTTGGATGAGGGGAGCGAAGGAATGAGGTTTGGGTTTTAGAGAGAGGAGCCTGGCCCGGATGCGCACAGTGTTCCAGGGCGGGGGAGAGGAGACAGTAGGTCAGGAGCTGGGTAGGAGGAGGGCCTGGCGATCGAGAGGAACGGGAGGAATGGAGATTTATATTTAGAATAATAAACCATTGTGAAACCTAGTAATTACGCTAAAACATCATAAACGTTAGGAAAACAGTGTGTTCATCAGAAATAATTCAGAAAATAAAAATAGAGAAAAGAAGACCAATCCCACCACCCAGGGTCAGCCACTAGTAACTATCTCGAGACACGTGGAGACAATGAGACTAAGTACCTGAGGCCGACCTTGCGGTTCCAGGTTGGGAGGCCAGGGTGGCTGGCGGCGTATTAGCCGAGGCAGGGAATTCAGGGGGCAAAGCACATTTGGACTACGGGGTGGGGTTAGGCGACGGGTCTAGTAATGGGATTGAGTTTATTGCACGTGGATGGCCCAGGAGGAGGTTGGGAACTTGAGCCCGAAGCACAAGACAGAGAGGCGTGGAGGTGTGGAGCAGAGTCTTTGGTGGGTGGATGGTGTCTGGGAGTCCCGGGGGGTCTGGGAGGGCAGGCAGAATGGGTGGGTTCCTCTAGGCGGACCCTGAGGCGTGACAGCAAGAAGGTGTGAGTGGCAGAAAGGCAGCTGGTACAGAACCAGCAAAGGAGTGGCCGAGGGGCCCGAGTAAAAAGGCTGCAGTGAGAAGCCAAGAGGGACAACAGTTATCGATTATCAATTATCGGAAGCTGGAAGAGGACTCCTGCGGGGGGCCTTTTTCATTTCCAATGAAGTTGTAACCGCATCCCTTCCAGGAGTGGGAATTCTGAGCAGAGCCGTGTCGTCGAAGATCGTCTGGGAAAATAAAAAGTTAAGAGGGCCTGAAGTCCTTGGCCGTAGTAAGGATGTTTTCTTGTTAGTGGATCAGAGGACACTAACAATTCTGACCATTGCTCTAAAGCAGGGTGGGCTGGAGCTCACCGTTTTCCTGTGATACCTGTGCATATCTGTATGAAGGAAAATTCATTCACTCACTAAAAAGTGTGTGCTTCACGCCCGCCGAGACGGATGCTTCCGGCACCTTCACCTCAGCCACGCACCCACCGCTGGTTCCAGCGGCAGCCGGGCGGGCAGTTTTGAGCACACACACAGCGTTCCCACCCCAGGTCCCGCAAGTGCCCTCTGCGCACCTTGGCCTCCAAGCTCAGCCCCAACAGAGGTTCAGCCTGGAAGTACAAGGGTCTTCCCGCCCAAGAGGACAGCTCTTCACCAGTGGGGGATGGGAACCCCAGTTCCCCTGCCCCTGACTTAAATGACCATTCCAGAAGCTTCTCAAAAGTCATTTGCCTGCAGCGGTGACCTTGAGAGCATATCCCTCCAGTTGGCTTTTTCCTCCTCTTCTCATTTCCTCACTATGATCCTCTCCCAAATAAACCACCTGACCCTAAGGCTATGTCTGATTTCAGAATAATCCCACTGATGATATCCACTGTTTATCAGGCACTGCTGAGATAAAACGGGGGGGTGGGCCGGGGGGGCGGCAGGAGACTGACAGAATCGCTGTGCTCAGGCGCTTCCATCCTAGCGGGAGTCAGATCCTGGTGCACGCAGTAGGTCGTGGACGGGCGCCGTGCTGGGAGAAGGTAGAGTGGGGAGAGGGGCCAGGAGGCCTCGGCATGGAATTTGCAGGAGCACATGCCAAGCCCTGCCTGAGGTCCCGGTGAGGCTCTTTGATATGTAGGCCTCACTGTGTATACTCAAGAAAAATGGGTTTGCTTTTCAGTACAAATAAAGATGAGGGGAGTTGGAATGGCTTTTGCCTTGTTTGGAGGTTGTTTTTGTGCTTCACCAAGTGTGAGATGGTAGAGTTTACCCTAAGCCACCCTCTCGTCGCAGGAAAAGAATAGAAAAGGGCAGTGCCCGCTCTGTCCCTGCCACCTCCACCTCCTCACCACTGAGTGAGACTTGCCCTCTGGGGCCCATGACATGGAAGTTCCCT